TTAAACCTTACATCGAGGGTCTCCTTTGCCAAACCAGCACGCTTCTAGCAATAGTTCTGGCCAAAAGTAAATAGAACCCCTAAGGCAAAACTTTGCAGTTAAGAAGTTTCCAAATAATTATAAGGTACATTTTCCAGTAAGATTTTTTTTTTTTTTCCCAATCCCATATCCTCACCAATCATGTAGTGAGCTCCTACTACTTGATGCTTCACACTAGGCCTTGCAGATATTTGAAGAAACATCAGATAATTCATATTTTGCGGCACTCTCTAAGGCAGCTTTTAACCAATACATTTTTAAGTACTCACCTTCTAGTTGACTAGCATGAAAGCATAAAAATTCACAAGTACAGTTACTCTAAAAATGAATAAAATTTAATTATCATGGCCAAGCCAAGCAGTGGCCATATCAAAAGCGATTTACTCCTTTTCAAGAAATCCACTTTCCATGTAACTTCCAAGAAAGCAGTTTGCAGTGGTCTGATCCCAAGAGAAATCATGCAGGGGTTCTATTCCAAGGATGGGCGTAATAATGTGAAACACTTGTGTGCAAAGACTAATCACACACACTATAGGTGGGAAACATCCAAGTTAGGGCCTAATCTCTGTCCCATTGATGCCTCCAGGCGCCAAAAAAATAAAGCATGATGTTATTTCTTTGCTGATAATATTCAAATAGCAAACAAAGAGTTACTTGCTCTTTGGGGAAAGAAAAGTTATGTATTAAGAGTTTCCTGAGGGCTAACACGCTGAAACTTGCAAAAATTCATGGTCTTTTGTCCAGAAGGGAGGCCCTGGGTGGTGCAAATGTTAACACTCTCAGCTGCTAACTGAAAGGTTGGGAGTTTGCAACTACCCAGAGGCACCCTGGAAGAAAGGCCTGGTGATCTACTTCTGAAAAATCACCCATTGAAAACCCTAGGGAGCACAGTTCTACTCTAACACACATAGGGTTGCCATGAGTCAGAATCAACTCGAAGGCAACTGTTTTGATTTTTTCTGGTTTTGTCCAGGAGGCAACAGCTGCTTGGCTTTCGGGGGTGTGGGGGGGCAAGGGAAGACCTACAAAAAAGAAAACAGAATGCAAAACTTCCAGTTGGGTGGAGAGAGAAGTAAGGAGATAGAAAACGGACAATTACTGAACACCACTCAATGATGACATTGTGTTTCTTTTAAAGCAGTTGTCCTTAAAAGGATGGTGTTACTCCCTAAGGGCAGTTTTGGAAATGAGAGGGCTTTTCAGGTGTCAATGATAGGGTGCTCCTAGCTGCATTTAATGGGTGGGAGCGTAGATGTTACCCAAGCCCTACAGGTTAGACCCCACACAACAAAGAACTGTCCCCCATCAGGACAACTTTCAAATATCCTACCAAATATTCATGTAGATGAAAACCCAGTTTACAATGATCTGAGTCTAGAATCTAACTTTGTTTTATATGTAAACACACAATGAAGTTTAGCTCAGTTTTAATGCGCTCTGGAATTTTCAGGAATGCAATCAGAATATTCTATTAAGGACCACCACCTGTCAGTTTGTTGTACTGAGGTGACTTGTGAGTTGCTATGATGCTAGAAGTTATGCCACCAGTATTTCAAATGCCAGCAAGGTGACTCAAGGCAGACAAGTTTCAGCAGAGCTTCCAGACTAAGACAGACTGGGAAGAAAGGCCTGGCAATCTATTTCTGAAAATTGGCCAATGAAAACTTCATGGATAACAACAGAATACTGTCTGAAACTTCGACTCACTTACTTCGGACACATCATCAAGAGGGGCTGACCACTGAAGAAGAACATCATGTTCGGTAGAGGGTCAGTGAAAATGAGGGAGACCCTCAGTGAGATGGACTGACACCATGGTCACAACAATGGACCCAAGCATACCAACAATCATGAAGATGGTGCAGGACCAGGCATCATTTCGTTGTTATATACGCGCTCACCACAAATTGGAGCGAACTCGACAGCAACTTACAATAACCATATAAATTAACAGAAGACTGTATCACAGTGGGAACCTTGGTGGTGCAGTGGTTAAGAGCTTGGCTGCTAACCAAAAGGTCAGCAGTTCGAATCCACCAGCCACTCCTTGGAAACCCTATGGGGCAGTTCTATTCTGTCCTATAGGGTTGCTATGAGTCTGAATTGACTAGATAGCAACAGGTAGGTAGGGTAGGTATATCAAAGTAAGAAGGAGCAAGTACTCCAGAGCCAGGCTGCTTTGATTTTAATCCCAGCTCTGCCATCATTAGCTGTGTACCCTTGGATAACGTCATCGTATGTAAAATGAGCCTAAGAGCATCAACCACCTCACAAAGCTATTAGGTAAGTATTTAGAACAATCCAGGCACTCAGGAAACACTAGTTGCGTGTAGCTATTATAGACTTGTTTAGAACTTTATCAAGAACTGGACTTACCAAACCAAATTTGTTGCCGTCAAGTAGATTCCAACTCATAGCAACCCTACAGAACAGAGCAGAACCGCCACATAGTGTTTCCAATGCTGTAAATCTTTACTCTCCCGCAGAGTGGCTGGTGGGTTTGAACTGATCACCTTCCAGTTAGCAGCCTAGCGCTTTAACCACTGTACCACCAAGGCTCCTCAAGAACTGGCCATATTTTAGAAAATCATATCCCCGACATGGATCCTGTTTCTGGTATTAATTTACCGACACAGCAGGTTTCTCTCAGTCTGCATATGTAGCGTCCATGTTCACAGCAATTTTATATATACAGGTACAAGTAGGTGCCTTTGCATCTTGTAATAGAATCATGCTAGCACATTTACATATTAAAAGTAATTATTCCATTATAAAGTATTTATACATTTATATTTGTGTATATTTCAGTTAGGACATCATATTGACGTGTATGTGTACAGGCCAGTTATATTAACTTCAATTCAGAATCGTAAATGGGTAATGCATTCACGGGCAAACGTCAGTTTTATAATCCATGATTTTCACTTGAAGATTGTGATGTTGTAAATTATTTATCATAAAAAGGGATGGGTGTAGAGTTGGGTTTGGTAGGGTTAAAAACCCACTGTTTTAAAATATCATGCCGAAAAGAGCCATTCGGCCTCTTCATATGTTAATGCTTGTGCACCATTAAGCCTGGATTGAGGCAAGAGGTTCCTATTAATTTCTGAGGAATTAGTATTAAGCTACTGCTTAATTATTAGTTATTAGTGTTAAGCTATCTCAATAGTTGTTTCACAAACATTCTTTACGCAGCAATATATTTTTCAAACACAATTCAAGAGAAAATCTGAAATAAAAATGAAGGAGCAGAGGCTGATTGAAGGAAAGGGGCCCAGAAAGCTCTCTGGCCGTCCTCCAGGGCTTCACAGAACAAGGTCTGAAAAACATCGATCTGGTATAGTAATTGAAGAGGGGCACTGCCTGTTAAGACTGACTTCTGAAAATCCATTTTGAAGTTGGTCATTTGATTAACAAATGTCATTCTCCCCACACAAAGGGGCTAACCTCCCAGCTGAGAGAGACCACCATCATTAAGTTAATTCATTATGTAGCTGATCTACAGCATGAAGACTCCTCCCCTACATCCAGGTGTGAGGGAACAGCTGTCACCCCTTTCCCCATAAATCCAGCTCAAGCTAAACTGAAACGAGCAAGGGCTGGCTTTCTTCCTCTTCTAGCTCCCTCCCAGTCACCAGTGCCTATTACTGACCTCCTCACCCCACACTCTGCCTTTATATCATGCTCAGCACCCAACGAATCACATACTCCAAGCCTCTTCTAGCCCTCAGTTTGCCAATCTCCCTTTGATCCCCCATGAACCAACCCTATCTTCACTGCAGTTCATTTAGAGGTTGACAGGAAAGCAGTTGGACTGAATTCAACTATACTAGCATGTGAGTGATTGCTAGTTCCTTTAACCCCACCAGATGCGTTTTAAAGGGAAGGTGTTTACCAATAGCAGTGAATATCTAATTGGTTGAATTTCAGACAGTAGAACAAAGTAAACAATGCTACTGGTATGGGAGAGGGTATACGGGTAGGGAACACCATCTCTGCCTAAGACTACACCGCAGTACACTGCCCTAATTAATTTTTCAGCTCTTCCACTTCTAATCCATAAAATCCCAAAATGCTTAGGAGGGTTTATTATTTTTTTTTTTTTTTAACAATAGCTCCCATGGTAGCAATGGCCATGGTGGTGGTCACCTGTAAAATCTGGGAACACCCTGAATGCTCTTTGTCATTAGTTTGACGTATGACGCAAAACAGAAATATTTTCAAGTACATGTGACTATGAGTAAGAAAAATATACAACTATATTTAAAACACTTAAATTAACAAGATAGTACTTTTCCATTCTAACAAAATATCATACATTCAGTTTAAACAAGAGTTAATATCCAGACACACTTTTCCAAAATATCTGATGCTAGTTGAAAATTAGTGACCACGAGACTTTCTGAGATCTTTCTAATTAGCAAAAGGTGTGCAATTTTGAAGACAGGATTTTTTTTCTGGAAGACAGACACTGAACAGGTCAAAATGCAAACTGATGTAACTCTCATAAGCCTACGTACTGTCACTTTATTTTTCTGAATAGTGCTTCGGCTATCAGCAACTCTTAGAGCCTTCCCCCTTAAAGACGATAATGCACAACACCCCTCACAAGTACCCACAACTTCTTTGTGTGTAATAATCTGTATCTAAGTGTGTTCATGTTTCTGTATTATCTGACCTATACTGAGATTTTTTATGAAAAGGAGATTCGCCAAGTGTAAGAGACCTACACTTAAATCTCTGCTTTGAAAGGGCATCCGACATGTCCCATGTGCTGTTTCAATGCTGCTACACTTACAAATATGGCATACAGCTTGAAATATCAAAACAAAAATGTGATCTCCACTGGCTTTTCAGGGAAAGAAATTGGACCACGAACCAATACATCTGTGACCATGATCCATCAATTTTAGCCCCTCCCCCCCACCCCGCAAAAAACGAACAATGCCACCAATTCCTCATAACGACCATAACTTTCCTGGCCAAAGCTCCACACTGTCATATGGAGGGTCACAATGTTCCAAATCTGATGAAGCAAGAAAAGCAGATTCTACTGTTTCCCTCCTTTTGCCTCTACAAGCCAGCACCCAAGATCCTCTCTGTGCTTGTTCCCATCCAATCACTTTAAAACTCTGAGAAGGGCAGTATACAACTTTCCAAAAAAAATGAAATTACATAAGGTCACTACGTAATACTGTAGATGAAAATAAGAACAGGTGGTCAGTCGAGGAACCAAGGCACTTGGTAGCAGGAGACAGGGAGGAGGAGTCCAGAGGAGGTTGGTCTCAGTGAGTCAATAGCTTAAGCCGAGTAAACCAGCTGACCAGTAGCGATGGCTCCGTGGAGGATGACTTTGCGGATGAGGAAACAGATTTCTTTTTGGTCCCTTCCTCCTGGAATGGAATTGTGGCGCTGCTGTGGAGGTCTGAACTGATGTAGCAGCGGCTCCCTCGGATGTAGTCTGCACCTCGAACGAGATGTCTCTCCGGGGAGGGTCTGGAGAAATGGTAGGGTGAGGAGGAGCTTTCTTCAAGGATCGCAGGGATTCGCTCGTTGCTGAAGTATCGACAGAGGGCATCCTCACCTGCCGTCAGACAAAGCCAACATCTCCATTAAAATGACCAGCCACTGGACCAAGGTGTTCAGTGGACTTCACCTGCTCCAACTTCTGATGCCACTTCTGAAAGTGGGTTCCGTACCCTGCTCCCCCCCTACCCCCCCGGGACGTGCCACAAGCCCTTGCAGATGAAAAGGCCCACCCAATCTGAGAGGCAATCTATTGGGTATTTAGAAAGCAGAAAGAGAAGAGGTCCGTCTTCCTTCAAGGAGCTCTGGTGGCGCAATGGTTAAGCACACTACTAAAAGGCTGGCAGTTCAAACCCATGCACTCAGCGGAAGAAAACCTGATGATCTGCTTCTATGAAGATTACAGCCAGGGAATCCCTATGGAGAAGTTCTACTCTGTCACATGGGGTTCCTGCAAGTCACAATTGCCTCGACAGCACCCAACAACAGTTTAACATTTTACTGTGTTAGTGCCTGAGAGGTAACAGGACGGCACAGAATCAGAGAACCCGCCCTTCTTTTCTGGTGTAAGAATTTGCACGCTTTCACTTAAAATCAAAAAGCAGCGAGACAGCCCTATAACGTCACCCCTCCTGGCCTGAGTCCTTGCTCAATGCTGGCAGCACAGCACGCAGCACATGCCTCCAGAGCAGTGATTCTTATCCCAGAGCAGCCCTGAGGGGCATTCAGAAATGACAAGAAGGGGAGTGTCTTTGGTTGACACTCTGAACGAAGGGCAGCACTACTCAGCTTTAGTGTATGCAGCTCAAGGATTTGAATGCTTGGAGCATTCCCCAAGGAAGAACTGTCTTGCTCTAAAGGGCAGCAGACCCCCTGGGATAGCGGTGGGAGAGCTGAAGAGACTGAAAAATGGTAAAATGTAGCCTTCTTCTGACCTAGAAATTCCACTCCTAAAAACGTGCAAAGATCTTACTGAAGCATTATTTATAATTGGAGGAAAAAAAACAGAAATAATGCAAAATGTTCACTAATAGGAGACTGAATAAATAAGCACTATAGCCATAAGAGAGCCCTGGTGGTGCAGTGGTTAAGAGCTCAGCTGCTAACCAAAAAGTCGGCAGTCTGAACCCAGCAGCCACTCTTTGGAAACCCTATGGGGCAGTTCTACTCTGTCCTATAGAGTTGCTATGAGTCAGAATTGACTCAACAGCAGTGGGTTGGTTGGTTGGTTGGTTTTAATAGCCACAGATAATGAAGCTATTTTAAGAAAAAAAATTTCTAGAAAAACATAGCATACTGTTAGACAACATTCACTTCACACAGTATCACTGAACATCTATTTAGTCCATTTTGTACATTTTTTTTAAGTGTATAGTATATAAACATGGGAACAACCGGAAGATTCACAGTGACTGTTCCAGTTGGAGAAGCAGATTCAGGTAAGTTTTATTTTCTTCTTCCTTCTAGATGTTTGACACTATACTTGTTTTGCTTTTGTAATCCAGGGGCAAAATTACTTTTAAAAAATATCCATTGTCAGAAGGCCACATGCTGTATGACTCCATTTACATGAAATGGCCAGAAAGGGCGAATCCATAGAGACAGAGCGTAGATTAAGTAGTTTCCAGGGGCAGGGGCAGATGGAGAGTGACTAGTAACGGGTATGGAGCTTCTTTCTGGAGTAGTGAAAATGTTCTGGAATTAGACAGTGGTGTCGGTGGCACAACTTTGTGAATATACTGAACACCAGGAATTGCATACTTTAAAAGGGTGAATTCTATCTCAATAAAGCTGTTCTTAAAAAAATGAAGTGTCCATTGTGCAGACACCTTTCATTGTAAAACAATCATAGTAAGAAATATGTAGAAGGAGGGGTGGGGGGCCAAGTATTTTTCCATTTCTCACCTACACACTCCCAGACTACATCTCTCAGTACCTAAAGGGAAGGAAAAGCCTAAACCCAGGCTTCAAAGTGTGGCAATGAAGATGTTAACATTTCTAAGTCTAAACAAAGGACAGCCCTGCCACCTGCTGACGGCTCCACAGATTTTCATAAACCAAGGTCGGCTGTCTTAAACCACAGACAGGCACCTTCTCTTGTTCTCACTTTAGCACAATCCAGGTGATGCAGGGATTCAGGGGACAACCTTTACCAAGTCCCCTACAGATGTCAGAGTTGATCAGGCCTCTAGAATTTTCTTCTTTTTATTACCTAACGCCAACTGTACTTGAACTTTTCACCTGCTCTGTTTCAGCCCTGCAAAAACAATGTCATAATGTGTTCCCAGTGTTGATAATCCAAGGTAATCTGACGAAGATAAGAATATCTTTAAACATTCCCCTCAAGACTAGGGTAATAACCAGTAACTTTGATTACAGGGAAAATAAAATGAAATTTCTTTTCAAATAGTAATTACTCTCTAACACTAGAAGGATTTGAGAGGGGAAAAAAAAACACGTTTTTTATTAGAGTCAGAAATCAAACTGACTCTAATAATAAAAAACCAAAACTCGCTGCAGTCAAGTCAATTCCAACTCATAGTGACCCTACAGGACAGAGCAGAACTGCCCCACAGAGTTTCCAAGGAGCGGCTGGTGGATTTGAACTGCCGACCTTTGGGTTAGCAGCCGAACTCCTAACCACTGCGCCACCAGGGCCCTGACTCTACTAATAATAGTCATAAAATTCAGGATAAAATTACTTAATGAACAATTTATTTCTACTGTTTACAAATGAGATCGTTAATGTCTGCAGCCTTTTTAAAACACATGATACTAATCAGGGTATTTTCAATCACTAAGATTATATCAATCTGCCATTATTGAATAAATAGATGTCAGCAGTCATCAGCAAATCTGATTTTAGAGGTGAGAAAATGGGGTTCAAAAAGGCTCAGTATTCTATCCAGTTATTGTAACACATTTATGAGTCCCTGGATGAGACAAACGTGCTTGGCTGCTAACCAAAAGGTTAGAGGTTCAAGTCCACCCAGAGGCTCCACAGCAGAAGGCCCTGGTGTTTTACTTGCAAAAAATCAGCCACTGAAAACCCCGTGGAGCACAGTCCTACTCTGACACACGCAGGGTCGCCAGGAGTCAGAGTTAACTTGCCGGCAACTGTTTTTATAGGAGTGGAGCTGAAATTAGGGCCTGGGTCTTTCCACTCCGTTTTTGCTTTTAGGTTTGTTTAAATGAAACTTACCTTTCTTCCCACGGCCTCGAGGTCTAGCAAAAGGGTCTACAATTCCCATCCAGCTCCCATCTGCAGGCATGGACAAAGGCCGGGGCTTGCCTGCACAGGGAGACCGGGAAGGAGACACGGTTGGCGAGTTTATGGGCTTTAGCGAATCCCCCCATTTATGTGTAACTTTGATCCCACAGTAAAACAACCCCGTAAGCAGAAGCGATAACATACTTTAAAAGAAAGAATTTCAAAGCACTGTATTTCCATAGCAAGCAATGAAGACAGAGGCATGCTACAGAGTCTGCATGTCTACAGAGCAAAGGCAACTCCAAAGTCAAAACCCAGGCACTGAAGTTCAAACTGTAATGTGATCTCCTCCAGCTGGGCTTGGATGCCAGGCAGAGTAAGGACTCCACGAGGCTCCATTTGAGGGAGATGAATTAAAGGTCTCATACTTAGCATTTCATTGAGGTTTATGTTTTCCCCGGATTAACTTTAAAGTCTACCAAATTCATCCAGCAGATCCAAATAAGAAAGGGGGTGGGGAAGTGAAGCAAAAGCAACCGGCAGAACAAAACAAACACTCGGAAACCTACCGTAAGATTGTGTTTTCTCTCTCATTTTTGTGGGCAGGAGACTGGTTTCCGCAGAATATCCAGGCAACTGATCGGAATCGGCAATGGTAAATCTTCGTCTTCGGCTCTCCTGGTCCAAGAAGGAATTGGGTGACTCTGAACCCTTAGGACCAGGCAACGGTTGTTTGCACTTACTGAATCCTCCGTGAGCAAAGCTCCCCTTCTCATCCCTGGAAGACAATGTGCAATAAGTAAGTTGCTTACAAAGGTCCTCTCATACTGAAGAATTGGAGGGATCATAATGTGACCAGCACACATGAAAAAACTGAAATCCTCTTTTTTCACTGCAAGAAAAAGCATTACCTTCTCAAACCCAGTTGCCCCTCCAATCATATGTTGTGTTGACTCATGGCCCCCTTCCAATACATACAGGTCATATTCAATAAGAATTAACACCATGACCCTATTAAACCAAGACCAAACCCATCGCCATCGAGTCAATTCCAACTCATGGTGACCCTATAGGACAGAGGAGAACTGCCCCATGGGGTTTCCAAGGAGTAGCTGGTGGATTCGAACTGCTGACCTTTTGGTTAGCAGCTGTAGCTCTTAACCATCGAGCCACCAAGGTTCCATGTTAAGAAAGAGTAAATGCCATTTTTTCGTATATGTCTAAACGCTACAAATGTACTCTTGAGAACGTAGCTCTATTTCCCTGGGTTTCTGTAGTTGCGTTTCCTATTTACTACAAGACATCACAAGTTAAGGCACAATCCTTTGAACCAGTTCCCTTATGCCAAGAAGAGTATCTTTGCTAAGATCCAGTGAAGAAGATTCTTGATGAGTTGTTAAATTTACAAATTATGTCAAAAAACACAAAGGAGCCTTTTGTAATCCCCAGTGGAGAGTGTCTACTTTCTGAACTGAGTATAGAAGCTGGCAAAAGTTGGATCACCAATTCCAACCTAACTCTATCAAAATGTCCGCTTACAATAAAACTTAAAATTCATTTTAACTGTGTTCGAGTTGCCAGCTGGTTAAACTTTTTGCATTTACTGTTCCATTAGACAATCACTGCAAAAGATAGTAGACAAAATACAGAATTAACTAAGTCCGAAGACTATCCAAAGCTCAGCCTTGCTTCCATGTTATATCCCTGCATTCCGAGGTGAGCCTGCTACACCACACCCGTCCCCCACAAATCTATCTCCTTCTATACCTTTAAACCTGATACTTAACTTCCCCATTCACTAAGCTTTCATAACTCAGTACTTGCTTCTCTGTAACCCATTTGCATTTTTTATTCCACAAAGATATCCTTCATTGGTGTGTATGTGCGCGTGTGTGTGAGCATGTTTCCCCCAAGCGGATTAAAAGCTCCCGTTGGTGCAACAGTTAAGCACTAGGCTACTAACTGAAAGGTTAGCAGTTTGAACCCACCCAGTGGCTCTATGAGAGAAAGATCTGGCGATCTGCTCACACAAAGATTACAACCTAGGAAGTCCTATGGGGGAGTTCTACCCTGTCCTATACCGTCACTATGAGTCGGAATGACTCCATGGAACCTAACAACAATAATATACACACTGGTTTTCTGGCCACTGCTTCTGTGACCCCTTACTGAGGCCCCGACAAGCACATTCAGGGTCAGGAGTGGGCGGCAGGGGGAGTGTCATCCTACAGTTTCTGACAGAACAATCCACACGTTTGGTTATCAGTGAAATTCTACATTCTGTATGTGTAAGACCTCCAACTCCACATGACTCTGGTCTGTGAATACAGGGCCGAGTGCTGTCTACCAACCAGAATGCTTGATCACTTCAGGTAACTTTTCTATGTGCTATAATAAATAGCGGATAAACAAAGACTCAGAGAGAGGAAGATGATGCTAATTCTTCTCTGCACTCGGGGAAGAAACACAATAGAAGCAAATAGCTCAGCTCAAAACAAACAAAAACAAATAATTCCAATACAAAGTAAAATGTCACTACAAGTCCAGCCTGCAACTTTGTCTTTGAATGATTATAGCATGAGTATGTATTTCTCAATTTATTCTTGAACAACTGATTAAGACATTGGAAGTTCTCTGGGGGTAAAGACCAGGTCTGTTTTGTGTAAGACAGTAACCCAGTCCCAACAATCACTAAATATGCTTTATCAACATATGTGAATACGTGAGTTGATATAAATAAGCCTAGATTCCATACCTAAATCATGCCCCACACACGATCTGCCATGACCATCCTCATTATACTGTCTCCTACATATAATGTTTCTTAAGAGTCATTAAGAAAGCAACTCTTTTTAAGAATTTATGATCACACACACAAATATGGACACCCTACACCTCCATTCACTTTTTTTTTAAGTTCCATGAAGAACACGTCTCTCTCAGTAAAATACAGTGGTAACTATATCTCACAGAATATTTATTATCCTCCTCTGCAGAAATGATTTTACCATACAGTTAATGCAACTTAAGCTGCAGGCCCCTCAAACAGTCCCCAGGAAGAGTCTTTGCGATATGTATCCAAGGGCATATGTTCTCGTAGGTTTTTCAAAAGTAAGATATTTTAATATTCTTTCCAAGTCCTACAACACCTAGACTTGTCCCTACACTTACCCTAAAGTACGTATGAACAGAGTTTTTTAACAGAAGCATAATACTCGGCCCTGCCACACTGCAGTTAGCAGCTTCCTCTATCAAGCTCCTTGCGGTCTTCACACCACCTCTTAGCGTCCGCATGAACAGGAGATGTGCCCACCACGAGAACGGACACTTACGTACCGTGGAGAATACGGCACAGCTGGTGGAGGAGGGATATAAAGGTCCAAGATGGCTGGTTTCTCCTTCTTCAGCGAGGCATCCATCATGCTCTCCGGGGACTGTGTTGTTGTGGGCGGAGGAGAGGTCTGAAAGGAGAGCAGGCAGCAGGACAAATGGTGTAAGAGGGGTGGAGGCTAATGCAATGATGACACCGAGTTACCTCTCCCCCTCCTCTACCCACCACCACCCGTGTGTAAACAAGGCAAGGCCATCCATGTGTTTGCAGTTGTAGGCAACACTCAACTTACATGATTCTTTGAGACACTCAGAGGTAACTGAGACTTCTTTGAAAGACTAGATGCACAGTAGGTCAGTGGGAGAATTCCTGCCATCCGTGCGGGAGACCTGGGTTCTATCCCGGCCAGTGCACCTTATATGAAGCCACCACCTGTCTGCCAGTGGAGGCTTGCATGTTGCTATGATGCGAAACAGTTCTCAGCAGAGCCTCCAGGCTAATATAGACTAGGAAGAAAGCCTGGAAATCTACTTCCGAAAATCAGCTAATGAAAACCCGGTGGATCACCGATCCACAACTGATCACGAGGATGGCGCAGGACTGGGCAGCGTGTCTTTCCATTCTGCGTGGGTTGCCATGAGTCGGGGACCGACTTAGAAGGCAGCTAGCAACAACGGATACACAGTGATGAAAAGTACAGGCTCAGGAGCCAGGAGCCAGGGCATAACTCTAGCTCTGGGCAAATTACTTAAACACCCCTGCCTCAGTGTCCTTCTCTGTAAAACAGCCATACAAACAGTACCTATTGCACAGGGTTGCTGTGAAAATGAAAGGAGTTTGTTCATAAAAATCACAATGCTACTACTGATTAGGAGTGTGGACGCAGGAATCTCACTGTCTGGGTGTCATCCTGCCTATACCTCGTATTAGCTGTGCATCTCTGGGGAAAGTACTCAATTTCTCTGTGCCTCATTTATAAAACAGAAATAAATGCAGACAAGAACAGTACCAACACAAGGTAGCCATAAGAATTAAATGCAATAATACAAGTAAAGGGCTGAGGACACAGCTTAGCAAATAGTACTGTTTAATTTCACATAATATACATATACACATACACACAAGTTAATTTTAAAAACTTAAAATCCACACAGCTTAGTTTTACGTATGTTTACTGGTCTCAGAAGGAACCCTGGTAGCACAATGATTAAACACTCTGCTACTAACTGAAAGGTCAGTGGTTGGAACCCATTGAGTGGCTCCATGGGAGCAAAGACCTGGCAAGCTGCCCCCATAAAGATCACAGCCTAGGAAACCCTACAGGGCAGTTGGAATCAACTTGATGGCACACAACAACAATAAACTGGTCTCAGAGCACCTATTTTCTTAAATTTAGTTTGAGACTTTCAGTCTGATCCCTTCTACAGTCTAACAACAACACAAAAACATTTTTCTGGTTGGCAAAGGAACTGCAAGGAAAAGCTTATAGTCAAGGCATCTGACTGGCGAAAGCCAGCAGGAGACACTGCGTGAGACCTGTGCTAGGTTGATATAAAATGGTACCTCTTAATTCCTATCTGGGGTCTCTGGGTGATGCAAACAGTTAACACATCTGGCTGCTAACTGAAAGGTTGGAGGTTTGTGTTCACCCTGAGAAACCTAGGAAGAAAGGCCTGGCAATCCACTTCCAAAAAATCAGCCACTGAGGTATCTTGGGTGAAGGGTCAGACAGTACACAATACAGGGGAAACTAACACAACCTGTACAAGGAAAGGTCATGGAGGCCCCATGGACAGATCCAAACTCCCCGAGGGACTGAGTTGCTGGACGGAGGGCTCTGGGGACCATGGTCTCGGGGAACATCTAGCTCAATTGGCATGACACTACTTATAAAGATAATGCTCTACATTCTACCTTGGTGAGTAGTGTCTGGGGTCTTAAAAGCCTGTGAGCGGCCATCTAAGATACTCCACTGGTCTCATCTCTTCGGGAGCAAGTGAGAATGAAGAGAACAGGATACAACGAAAAGATTAGTCCAAAGGACTAATTGTCCACAGCTACCAAGACCTTCACCGGACTGAGTCCAGTACAGCTAGATGGTGCCCGGCTACCACCGCTGACTGCTCTGACCAGGATCACAACAGAGGGTTCTGGACAGAGCTGGAGAAGGATGTAGAACATAATTCTAACTCACAAAAAAAAAAAAAAAAAAAAAAAAAAAGACCAGATTTACTGGCCTAAAGGAGACTGGAGAAACCCCGAGAGTATGGCCCCCAGACACCCTTTTAGCTCAGTGGTAAAGTTACCTTCGAGGTTCACTGATCAGCCTGCGAGTGGACAGCCCAGTAAAACCATGAGAGTAACGAGGTACAGGAGTCCAGTGACAAGGCCCAGAAGGCAGAAGGGGAGTAGGAAGCTGATGATAGGGAACACAAAGTAGAGTAAGGATACTGTTGATGTGTTGTGAGACTGTTAACCATTGTCATAGGGCAACATTTGTAGTAACTGTCAAATGGGAGACTATTTTGTCCTGTAAGCCTTCATCTTAAGTAAGAATAACAGCATAATTAGAAGAGCATAGTCAATGTCACTTAAATGTGTATGTAAAAAAAATTTTTGAAATGGCATATCTTTGGCTATGTGTATTTTCACCAAAAAAAAAAAAAAAAGTTGAGAATTTAGAGGGTTAAAATGTTGTGGGGTTGTTAACCAATGTCATAAAACAGCATGTGTGTTACTGTTACATGAGAAACTATCTGTTCTGTAAGCCTTCACCTGAAGTACAATAAAATATCAAAAAAAAAAAAAAAAAATCAGCCACTGAAAACCCTACAGAGCATGGTTCTACTCTGACAAACATGGAGTCGTCATGAGTCAGAATCCTCAACAGCAACAGTTTTGTTTTGTTTTGTTTTAATTCCTATCTAGCCTGGGTTGTGATGGAAAACGTCCCAGAAATGAGAATGTGAGCTAGATTCTAAAGATTGGAAAGACTGCCAGAAGCAGCCACTGGAGTTTCACAGAGTAACACTGAGGCACAGAGAGACAGGGACTTAGTCTTTACTCTCCCATAATGTAATCTCCACGGTCTCAACATTCGCTGCTAACATGCCATCTGTCAACTCAAAAGGTAACCAACGAGCATCTCAGAACATCAATCTTGGAATACATGTGGAAACCTGAGAAGCAAAAGTAAAGTGGAGAATTTCCCCAGAAGAGCCACTCCCTGAAAATGGAACATTACTCAGCCAGAAAGAGAAATGAAATCCTGACATACGCTACAGGATGGAGGACCCTTGAAAACTTTATGCTGAGTAAACAGACAGTCACCAAAGGCTAAGTATTGTATGATCCAACTGACATGAAATAGCTAAAATAGGCAAACGTATACAGACCTAAGATTATTAGTGGTTACCCGGCATGGGAGAGGGAAAGGAAAGCACAATGTGGAGGGACACTGACTTCTGTTAAGGGTGACAGAAAAATTTGGGAACAATGAAGGGTGATGGTTGAACAACATGATGAACACCTTTAATGTCACCAAATTGTACATGTGAAGTTGAAACGGCGAATGTTTTGTTACATATATATTTACCACAATAAAAAAATAAATCATTACTCTGTATCAAGAACCCTCATTTACCAGGATTGTGGCCTAAAAACGGAATGACGAACACCTTTTCAGTGGCAGGACAACACTAATGATGTTGAAAAGAATTAAAGAGACTCCCCCTTTCAGGAGGGGTGGGCGCCAGGCATAAAGAACACTCAAGAACAAAGTACAGAGAAAAGCCCAGGGCAGGAGCTGAGCAAGTCTACAAAGAGCGTTTGTCTACTAGAGCTGACATTCTGAAAATATCTCGGACACATCAAAAGAACACTCAGTAGCTAAAGAGTAAAACAGCCTCTTGGCGCTTTGACGGTGACGCTCTCCTGGGTCAAAAGGAAACACTGTATGTCTCTAGCCCTCACATCGCCTCTTCCCTAAACCACACAGCTCTTGGAACCTGGCAGGAAGGTAGACAAAAGCAGAGAAAAAGGAAGAGTGTCCCTTTGAAGGTGAATTTCCAGAAGTCAAGAGACTAATGCTAGCCTAGACTTCAAAATAATTTCCTCCCATCTTCTGAAAATATCCGCTTGAATTTCCCTCTATTACCTCAAACTCACATATGTCAAAAATAGCTCTTGTCTCTGCCTCCCAAAGGGCTCTTCCCTGACTTTCTAATTTGTCACTGGCTCACCACCCACGTTCACTGTCACCTTTGACACCTGCTTCTCCCTCGCCATCTTCACCCTTTTTCTAATTTGTCAACGCAAACAACAAGGACATTGAGGCTTAGAAAGATTGAACACCTTGTCTACGGTCCCACAGCTAATACGTGCAGAGCTGGGATCTGAACTCAAAGGGGTCAGCTCCAGAGGCACCCTCTGAACTGCCGCACTGTGATGCTTTGTGAATCCTTTTGATGCCTCTTGCATTCGTGTTTGAGTCGCCACTGTCACCAGCCTTGCCCAGGACTACATCACCCCATATCTAGAATTATACAGCCCCTTGGTGTTCCTTATATGTAGATATGAACACAAAAGACAATTGTCAGCCTGTTACCTAGAGATGAAGTCCATGCTCCTTAAAAAAAAGCCCAGTTGTTGTCAAGTTTGATTCATGGTGACCCCTTGCGTCAGAGTAGAACTCTACTCCACAGGGAATTCAATGGCTGATTTTTCAGAAGTAGATCACCAGGCCTTTCTTCCAAGGTGTCTCTAGGTAAATTCAAACCTCTGACCTTTCAGTGAGTAGCTGAGCTTGTTAACCATTTGCACCATGGTGTTATTTTTAGATCCTTCCTGTAAGGAACACATGTAGATGCATTCCCAGTGCTCGATATGTCACTGTGTCCAAACTGATGGTCCAAGCTTTCTATTTGAAGAGGTACAACAAAGCCATGGTCAGTTAAGGATAGATTTTAATCTGAATCTTATAAAAGAGCATGAACATATCATTCCTTTTCATTCGGGGTTCAGGAAATAAACACAAAGGACCAATGGCATAACCAGAGGGGCTGTCAGTGAGCATGGTCCACCTAGGTAGGCAAGAAGACGGTTCACTGTTTGTTATTGTTGTTGTTAGGTGCCGTCAAGTCGATTCCAACTCATAGTGACCCTGTGCACCACAGAACGAAACACTGCCCAGTCCTGCGCCATCCTCACGATCATTGTTATGCTTGAGCCCATTGTTGCAGCCACTGTGTCAATCCATCTCGTTGAGGGTCTTCCTCTTTTTCGCTAACCCTGTACTTCACCAAGCATGATGTCCTTCTCCAAGGACTGATTCCTCCTGACAACATGTCCAAACTATACACTGTTTGTAGAGAATTTAAATAATAAAACTCACTAAAGGTCCGTCTGCTTTTTATCACCATAGGCTGGCAATTCTAAACAATGTCAGTGATAAAATCCTCTCCAATGAGGAGATTGTTCCTGCCACGTCCACCCCTGCCTTGGTTGTTGTGTGCCATCAAGTTGATTCCAATCATAGCAACCCTTTATGACAGAGAAGAACTTTCCCATAGGGTTTCCTAGGCTGTTATCTTTATGGAAGCAGATTACCAGGTCTTTTTTCTCTCTGAGCGCTGGGTGGGTTGGAACCACTGACCTCTCGGTTAGCAGATGAGCACTTAACCATTGTGCCACCAGGGCTCCTTGGTAAGTCACTGCTAATAATGCCACTCTATGAGGTCTCTCTAAGATTAGTGTTCATACTGTATACATTTATACAAGTGCTTGAAATCAGAGACAAGAATGAGAAAGAACTTTCCATAATGTTGGAAATGCCCACATCTGCGCCATACAATATGGCAGCCATTAGCCAGAGGTGACTATGAAGCACCTGAAATATGGCTACTGTGACAGAGGAGCTGAATTTACAATTTTACTTAATTTAATTATTTAAACTTAAACAGTCACATGTGGCTAGTGGCCACCAGACTGTTCAGTGCAGCTCTAGAACTTCTATTTTCACATAAGCAGGATTATCACATAATTATACACACGTAAACTGTAAATCCCTGAAACCAGTCACCTTCGAATTTTAATCTTCCTTTTCAGAGACAAATCAAACATTCAATGTTGCTTCTGTGCCGGTGTTAGGTGACGACTTCCAGCTCACATTACCTGCACGAGAGGGGGCTTCCACCGTAGGTTTTTCAGAGGAGCAGGAGCAAAGTTGAAGGAGCCTGTGGGGCGCTTCTTAAGTAGTAATACAACTCCCGTGGGGTTCTCTCTCAATTTTCTCACCAGATTTTTTAGCTGCCATCCCACCTTCAAAAAAAAAAAAAAAAAAAAAAAAAAGAGGCAAGGGGGCTGACTCAAGAAGAATGAAAAAAATTAAATCTATGAATTTATTCCAAGAAGTTATGGGCAAATAGGTAGATACAAATATGTTCACTTTAGCACTAGTTAAGAGAGTGGAAAATTGGATGTAGACTGCAAATTTTAAAAATTCAAACAGAATGGCCTTGGATTTAATAAAAGTTCTAACGAGGGATATTAAATCTTACGTCTCAGTAGACAAGCTCACCACAGTTTGCTGATTAACTTGAATGACTTCGTCGCCGGCATGGATCTTCTGTGACCTGTCTGCAGGAGACTGTACAGAAAAAGAGAGACTTGTCTTAATTTTGTAAACCCTCTCTTTTTGCTTCTACTCCTTCTTTCTTTCTTCTGCAGACAACAAGCAACGGAAATGAAGTTGTCTCAGGGAATATAAAACAGTATACTTTCGTGCCCTGTGACTATGTGGTCTATAGAACCTGGCACATGAATACGGAATTGTCCATCTTATTATTACTAATAATCTGTCAGCAAAGGCGCGCTCATTTAACCTAGCCTTGGGCATCTAGACACACTACTGAAAATCACTAGCTGAGAAAAAACATCAGTGCATCTAAACAAGTATCACCATTAAAATGAATCTTGTAAAAGCTGACCTACTGTTTCAACATGTCAACATCATCCTTATTAACTCTGTCATCCCATTTCCTCGGGAACAATTATTAAAACTAAGTCTTATATTTACTCAGTCTTGTTTTACTTGCTATCACAATGCTACTAAAATAGCATTAAATACTCACTATTAAATATTATTAAACTAGAAAGACGTTGGCAACAGAAAATTTATTTCCTTAGAGAAAATTAAAGGTTTTCTTCCGTTTTTAGGTTGAATTCAAAATGAATGAGTTTTCAGTGTCAAAACAAAATCCAGACTTTGTTTCTCCCAAATAATACCTAGCAACAAATTTGAAATACATATATATATATTTATAAAAAAAGGACATAATATATTTGTCAAATACATGTCTGTAAGTATTTCTGTTCATATAAGCAACCCAGAACTCCTTTTGTTTAAGACAGCGCATATGACCAAAAGGGGAGGTCAAGGATGAACCTCTGATTTCTAATTATAATCAAATGCTATCTAGGCCAGAGTATTTTATTTTGTAACTTGTGTAATCTTCAGACAATTTACAAGTATCCTAAAAAACAGCACCTTTGAACGCAAGGAGGGGGCAACAAGTAAAACTCAGGACACACCTGCCAAGTTTTCTCACCCAACTGCTGTGATAGGCTCAACAAGAAAGGAGCAAACAGCACTTAACTGGAGAAACATTCCCTCTGGTTTATCTAGGTCCAACGCAAGGCAGAGAACTGTGACAGTTATTTTTAAAAATCTCTAACCTGTTGCCATAAAAACCAGAAGCACCTCACTTGAGAGATGAGCAATGTGTGTACCACAGGGAGATGGCACTTAACAAAAAATGAATTTATCTAGGCTCCTTTTTTCAAACTTTGGGTGTCAGATGCTTTGCCCATCATTACAGACCTACTTAGATGGATCTGATCTTGATTAGTGCAGCCCAGTTCATTTGCCTGGGCTGAAGCATGAAAGAGGTATTTGTTTAAGGTAAGTTTCACTTTATACCCACCTTACACCCTCAATCCACATTCTGAGATGTCCCCAAGACCAGGAGGTCCCTGTTTATAGATGTGCAATCTTAAAAAACAAGCCCCGATGTCCTGAGTTGACTTCCCTTCCTAAGGATCCTGGGGCATTCATTCCGCAAATGTCCTACCAAGTGATTAAGACCTGTGCTTGGCAGAACACTGGTCAAGACAGAGATTAATACCAAGATTCCTCCTAGAGCAATAGCTCTTGCCTATCTTCACCACGAGCTGGACTACTGAAAAATGATGCCTATTCTGGTTTGGCTGCAGAAGGGTGAGGAGCTGGAGAAGAAGGTACCCATTCTTCAGAGGCTAATGTGGTCTTTGCCTAATCTCGGGGCAGGGGTACAGGAGTATGCCTGGGGTCATGTCAAGATTCCTGTCAAGGTCTTGAGCACCATCAGAAAAGAAGGCAGATAGAGAATTACCAGATATTGGTTACTCTGACATTGGAAGGATCCTGGCCTCTCAGGTAACCTCCAAAATAAATATACTGCAGGCCTCAGAAAGCCTGCTGGCACTGCTTCAGACTGGAGTTCAAGATAGAGGAGGAGGAGGAGAAGGAGGAGGAGGAGGGAGACAATTCCCGTGGGAGTGCAGTCGGGTGACTTCCATCCACTCCCATCCCATATAGGCTTCCAAGAAAACATCCTGACTCTGAAGTCAGGTGACCTTAAGTGACAACCAGGAAGCTGTCCTGGAGAAAATCCATGTGCCTTCCGGTAGTAATACAGCAGTGCTCCCCATGCCTATCCAAGATGGAAACTGCTTTAAGAAGACTGGATAGAGTCTGGAACTGCACAGATCTGGCTTAGGTCAAACAATGTGATCACCAAAATGCTAGATGCAAAACTTCAACTCTTTCAAAGCAGCAGCGGCCTTAGGGTACACTGAGCTTCTGCAAAGGGTGATGCGAAAATTTGGAAATGGATGGTGGTGATGGTTGAGCAACATGATAAACACAACTAATATCATTGAATTGTACACATGAAAAATGTTGAAATGGCAATTTGTTACATATACATTTGCCACAATAAAAAATAAAAACAGAAACAACAATCACAAACAATGTACTGAGTAATACATGAGTATGTTCTTGTCATGGTTCAGTTGCCATGGACCCATGTCTCCAACAAGGATAAGGTGTGAGTCACAGTATGTATCATGCGTTTTTTTCATTAGCACCATCCTAAGCCTAGGAGCAGAGCTTCTTGTGCTGTTGTTCTTGCCTCTCAGGTGACTTGGTATAAAAATTCTTAGTGCTTCTCATTGTATTCTCATTGTAACTCAACAGAGAATGCTTAAAAGGCACTACCACCTTCACTCATTCGTCTGCCAGAACTGCATATTTTATTTATAATTCATTGGCTGCCTTAAGCTATGTCATTCTCTTACTACAAAAATCAAGTGTTTGTCGCAAACCCTAGTCAAAGATCAGGACATTTTATTTTATCAAAAGACTTAGTAACAAAAGGTCAAAATCAGACATGTATTTCTACCGAACAGATTGCACAAGCAGTTAACAAAATTTCCTCTAGTTTTTAGGATTTTTTTTCCTCTTGTCTTCCTTGATTAAATAGTAGATAAATTCCACAGACACGTGCTTCTTTGAACACGGACCCAGGGAAGCTATGCAAACATTCTTAGCTTCGCATCAGTGTCAATCAAAAGTTGGCCATATTGTAGGTTACAAGAAGAAAGCATTCAAATATCCCTACTTTACACTAATTCAAAATGTTTGAGGGGCTAAAGAAAAACTCTACATGTAGCAGAATTTACAGAAAGAAATAAACAACGTACAAAAGTTTCTCACTTTAGAAACAGCCCTGCTTTTTCCTCTCAAAGGATGGGGAGGGGGGAATCTAAATTTCAATATCTTGCCAAATATTATGAAAATACAACTCTATAAAAAGAATCTGTCATGTAAAAATTCCAAAATAGCTGCTTTGGTAACAAACATACATTCCATTAAACAATAGCAACAAAAAATTATATTTCAGACAGGGGGTCACCAATCCCAGCTCTTCAAAGAGTGATTCTCAACAACAAAGAGACCGTTGTTTTTGTGTTGATGATTTCACACTTTCAGGGTGCAAAACGAACAACCAACACAAGGATGGGGGTAAGAACCAGGCAGGGTCTGTGAACAAGAGCAATAGAGGACAATTTAAATAATAAATTGACGACAGTTGGTGATAAGCTGGGCTCTATCAACAGAAATAAACAAAACAGGCACCCTCGCTTTCACTGCATACAATAAAACAACAAACACACGTTAAAATGGAAAGTAGAGAGAGCTTGTGTCAAATTTTCTTAAACACACACTAGCCTTTAAATTGAATGGCTCTCCACTTACATTTTCTGTGGTTCCAGTAATTACATGCAATCCATCATAGGTTGACTTGATGTACATGCCCTAGAGGGAGTCACAAATATATTAGCTCATTACTCCAACATTCAGAAATATAGCTCCAAGTGAGACTGGAGCTTATAAAACATTAAAGGCAGACCCCACAGAACAATGCTCGTTTTTATGCCTCTCGAAACACCGTGAAACGAGATCCAAAGGGCAATGAAGGGAAACTAAACAAACTGAAGACCAGTAAAGAAATCAGAAATTCGATCTCTTTGATATTATCATTTGTGGATCCACTGTGACACAGAACTCTGTCGTAACTCTAGGGACTTGGAAGAAACCTTCTCGGACCTACTGAATGAGCAAGCTTTTCAAACAAGGACTGTTCTTTCCTAACCATCACTTTGTCTGTCATTGTTGTGTGCCGTCCAGTCGTTGAGTCAACTCTGACTCACAGTGACCCTACAGAACAGAACAGAACGGCCCCATAGGGTTTTCTAAGCTGTAGTCTTTATGGGAGCAGATCGCCAGGTCTTTTCTTCCATGGAGCTGCTGGTGGGTTCGAACCGCTGACCTTTCGGTTAGCAGCCAAGCACTTTAGCCACTGTGCCACCAGGGCTCCTTTCTCTTTGTCTAGTGACACAATATATTCATTTAAATTTAGCATCATCAGTAATTGCAGAGAGACTTATGCAAGCCACTAATAATCCATGCCAGGATGTATTAGTGACATGGTTCAGAGGGGAAACAAATTAGAAACAGGTACCCCTAAATGTTACCTGTAAAAAATCAGTTGCTGTTGAGTCAATTCCAACTGGTCAGCCCCATGTGTTCCAGAGTAGAACTGTGCTCCATAGGGTTTTCTATGGCTGTGGTCTTTTGGAAGTAGATGGTCAGAAGCTTTTTCCAAGGCATCTAGGTGAGTGACGGAGCCCTGGTGGCACAGTAGTTAAGAGCTTGGCTGCTAACAAAAGGTCAGTAGTTCGAATCCACCGGGTGCTCCCTGGAAATCCTATGGGGCATTTCTACTCTGTGCTATAGGGTCTCTATGAGTTGGAATCGACTTGACGGCAACGGGTTCAGGTGGGTGGATTCAAACTGCCAACCCTTCAGTTAGTAGCCCAGTGCTTAACTGTTTGCACCACCCAGGGACCCCTGCATATTAAGGGGAGCCTAAAGATGAACGTGCTGCTTCCTAGAAGCCTAATAAGCAAATTCAAAGGCGAATGCCATATCACCAAGAAACCATTTCTGTGGTGTTACATACCACGTGTTAAAAATTTTTAATTAAACTGTTATAAGATGAGGAAAGAGCAGAAAGTAAGATAGGGTGAAAAGTAGCCACACAGCCTGGCATCTGTATTGTAATACTGTAGATCTTCCACAGAAATCGTTTTGACCCTGACCTTGCCTTGCTCATCCACCTGCAGCACTTTAAAATGAGAATCTCATCAAGTACTAACTCCTTCAGGGCCCTCCCCATTCTTCTCACACCCTGATCCTCCCACTCTCAGAGAAGGTGTATCAGCTTCTCTCCTACATAAGGTACTCCCCTGTCCAGTGCATTTGCTTGTACAACCTTCCATCTGAAATAGCAACCCCATTGCTGTCCACTTGGGGCATTTACCTGCTTCAAAACCTGGCTCTAAATTCACCTCCAGGAAGTCTTCCCTGTTTAAACTTCATCTACTATCATTAGTCACTTACTTGGAAGCCCAGCAGTATCCATGTGCTTATGTCTACTTATTAAAATGCTGGCTTGTCAACCTTTGCTTGATTTTTGTTTTCCTATTTAAGAGAGGGATCTGCCTTAACATCTCCCCATAGCTGCCTACACAGCAGGCACTTTATCCTCCTCCTCCTCATCTTCATCATCAATCCCAGCAACAGTAGCTGCTACTATGCACCCAGCACCTGGCTGTCAGCATCTATCAACTAATTCAACACTTTCAACAGTCCTGTAGGGCAGGTGGCATCCCTGGGGGGTGTCAACAGTTAAGCACTCAACTGCTAGCTGAAAGGTTGGTTATTTGAACCCAACCAGAGGCGCCTTGGAAGACAGGCCTGGCAATCTGCTTCCAAAAGGTCACAGCCTTGAAAACCCTATGGAATAGTTCTACTCTGCACATATGGATCACCATGAGTTGGAAACAATTCAAAGGCAACTAACTGCAACAACAATGGGGAGGTCATTATTAACCTCTTTTGACAGATGAAGAAACTGACGGGTAAATAGCTTAAGTCACTTGAGGGCTGGGAATATTAAACTTGGCTCTCTCTATCTCAAAGGCCTTAGGCCCTAATCTAATCAGTGGGCCTCACAATTTCTTCACTTAAATTTCAGCAAATTAATCATATAGCATGCATGCCATCTTGGTACTGGGAGATCACCTGAGTGTTTTCTCAGGGCCTGTTACTATACAGCTCATATATTACGCAGCTCATACATTACTTATGAAATGTCTCTGAACTTTGTTGAAGAATCATTTTCTCCAGCCAGCCCCTTGTCACATTCATCCTATGTGCTAATAGAGACTTTCTGAACAGATTTTGGTTTTTTTACCCAGAAACCATCTTTCCTTTGTGTAAATGCTTTACGTCTCCTTGCATTGCTAAGTCCTAAAACTAAAACTGTTAAAATAATTCCTTCTAGATGTGAGCGCACAGTTCTAAAACTGCATTTATTTTTATACTTGGAAGATAGAAAACCAACCAACACAGTTCAAGGTGGTTTAAGTTCTAAACTCCATAATGGAAGACAGTCTACTTTAATTCTACTAAGAATTAAAGGGGGAGCAGTATAGAATTTTAAGAAAGAAAAACTTTTAATAAATGGCAATGTGTGTTGTTATTTGAAAATGAAGCACGTGTCAGAATTCTTACCAGGCCTTCCCCAGGTTTGATGTTGGGCAAATGGACTTCCTCCAGACACGCACACTGGTTCATGAGAGGGTCCGTGGTAGATCGGATTGTTTTGTCACAGATGCCGTTTAAAACCTTGACCTAGAATTGGAGAGAAAGAGTCAGAAAAGGTTCAATCATTAACCAAGTTTATCTAAAGCTGAGTTTTAAAGAAATGCGCTTTATGTATAATCTCTAGTTATGGTTGGCAATCATTTGAGTTATACTGCCCCATGAATGCAAAGCATTTAGAATCTGTATTTGCACTCTGTGGGAATAGTGCCACTATTTCAGCTTTGTTTAAAAAGTACAGCTTTTCTGTGAACTTATTTATGACCACTGAAGGGCACAGTCCAGGCAGAAATCCCCTTTCAGCAGATAAACAGAAGCATCTATTCCCAACCATCTGTGTGGCTGTTTAGTGATCACTCACATTCTTCAAACACCAAACATTGCCAAGGTAAAATGTTTTTTTCCTGCCTTTTTTTTTTTGTTGTTGTTGTTGTTTGTTTTTTTAATTAACAGACTATTTTTCAGAGCAGTCTTAGGTTTATAGAAAAATTGTACACAAAGGACAGAGAGTTCCCAGATACTCCCCAGCCCTGCACAGTTTCTCCTGTTATCACCATCTTGCATTTAGTGTAGTATATTTGTTACAATTGATGAACTAGTACTGACTCGTTATTATTAACTGAAGTCTGCAGTTTATATCAGGGGTCACTCCTTGTGTTGTGTAGTTCTGGGGGTTTTGACAAACGCATAATGTCATGTGTCCACCATCACTGTATCACACAATAATTTGTTGCTGTTGTGTACCATAAAGTTGATTTCGGCTCACAGCGATCCTACAGGACAGAGCAGAACTGCCCCATAGGGTTTCCTAGGCTGTAATCTTTATGAGAGCAGATTGACAGGTCTTTTCTCCCATGAAGCTGCTGCTGGATTCAACCATTAGCCTTTCGGTTAGTAGCCAAGTGCTTAACCACTGCGCCACTAGGCATCCTACAGTAGTTTCACAGTGCTCCACTTATCTATCCCTGCCCCAACCCCTACCCCAGGGTGCCTGGCAACCACGATCTTACTGTCTCTATAGTTCTGCCTTTTTCAGAATGTCACATGGTTGGAATCACACAGTATGTAGCCTTTCCAGACAAGCTTCTTTCACTTAACAATGCACATTTAAGATTCTTCCATGCCTTTTCATGGCTCATTCCTTTTTATTGCTGAAAAATATTCCATTGTATGATTATATCAGTTTGTTTATCAGTCTACCTATTAAAGGATATATTGGTTGCTTCCAATTTTTGGCAATTATGAATAAAGCTGCTATAAACATTCGCGTGCAAACTTTTGTGTGAACTTAAGTTTTGAGCTCATTTGGGTAAATACCTAGGAATGTAGTTGCTGGATCTTATGGTAAGAGTATGTTTAGCCTTGTAAGAAACTGACCAACTGTCTTCCAAAGTAACTGTACCATTTAGCATTCTCACCAGCAATGAATGAGAGTTCCTGTTGCTCCATATCCTTGTCAGCATTTGGCGTTGTCAGTGTTTTGGGTTTTAGCCATTCTAATGGGTATGCAGTGGTATCTCACTGTTGTTTTAATTTGCAATTTCCTAATGAATGATGAGATTGAGCATCTTTTCGTATGCTTATATGCCATCTGTATACTTCGTTAGTGAGGTTTCTGTTCAGATCCTTTGCCTACTTTTTAAATGAGTTTTTTTTTTTTTTTTAGTTTGAAGAGTTCTTTGAATATTTTGGATACAAGTCCTTTATCAGATAATGTGTTTTGTAAATATTTTCTCCCAGTACGTGGCTTGTCTTTTCATTCTCATAACAAAGTCATTCGCCCAGCAGAAGTTTTGGATTTTAATGAAGTCTAACATTATCAACTTTTCTTTCACTGACTTTGCTTTTGGTATTGTATCTAAAACAATTGTATTGTGTTGTATCTAAAACTCACTGCCAATACCATGGTCACAGAGATTTTTTCCTATGTCATCTTCTACAAGTTGTATGGTTTTGTGTTTTACATGTAAGTCTATGATCTCTTTAGTCATTACTCACATTCTCCAAATATGAAACAGTGAGAAGGCAAAATTTTAAAGAGACAAAAATGAAGACCCCTTTTAAGTGGCCTCCACAAACAAATCGCAGTGCTCATGTGCAGTTACTTCCTAAATTCACCTAACCTTTCAAAATTAAACCACCAAAGAAATCAAGAAACTACAAAGAGGGATCTTTCTTTCCAAGGGAGAGAATCCAGGAAGTGACACTTTTTAAATTTCTCCAAGTTGGTGAGCCTCCCTATTTATGGAAAATATATTTATAGCAATTTCATTGCTAAATTCCTCAACATCAGTGGGAGGAAGGCCTTATCAAAAGAGCACAGCCTGGTTTATGTCAAAAGGAGGAAGTGATGATGAATAGCTTCAAAATGCTCTTTAAACATTCACAGTGCATCCCACCTCCATCGTGAGGTTTTTGCCAAGATTTTCTTTTTTGTTTCCCTAATCAAAATGGTCCTCAAGTAAAATTTTCAGATCAGGTTAACCCTGATTAATAGGCTAGCTAGCAATTTAAGTATAACTGTACCCTGATGAAATGTTCGTTGTTGTTGTTAGGTGCTACTGAGCTGGTTCCGACTCACAGCGACCCTATGTACAATAGAATGAAATACTGCCTGGTCATATGCCATCCTCACAAGTATTGTTATGTCTGAGCCCATTGTTGCAGCCACTGTATGAATTCATCTCTTTGAGAGTCTTCCTCTTTTTCACTGACCCTCTACTTTACCAAGCATGATGTCCTCCGCAGACTGGTCCCTCCTGATAACATGTCCAAAGTATATGAGACAAAGTCTCACTATCCTTGCTTCTAAGGAGCATTCTGGCTATACTTCTTCCAAGATAGGTTTGTTCGTTCTTCTAACAGTCTATTCAATATTCAGTATTCTTCACCAACACCATAATTCAAAGGCATCAATTCTTCTTTAGTCTTCACTGGCCAGCTTTCACATGCATATAAGGTGACTGAAAACACCACGGCTTGGGTCAGGCACACCTTAGTCCTCAAATTGACATCTTTGCTTTTTAACACTTTAAAGAGGTCTTCTGCAGCAGATTTGTTCCATGCAGTGCATCTTTTGATTTCTTGACTGCTGCTTCCATGCGCGTTGACTGTGGATTTGAGGAAAATGAGATACTTGACAACTTCAATCTTTTCTCCATTTATCCTGATGTTGCTTATAGGTTCAGCTGCGAAGATTTTTGCTTCCTTTATGTTGACGTGTAGTCCATACTAAGGCTGTAGTCTTTGATCTTCATCAGTAAATCTTCACTTTGAGCAAGCAAGGCTGTGTCATCTGCATATCACAGGTTGTAAATAAGCCTTCCTTCAATCCTAATGTCACATTCTTCTTCATATAGTCCAGCTTCTTGGATTATCTGCTCAGCAAACAGACTGAATAAGTCTGGTGAAGGGATACAACCCCGATGCACACCTTTCCTAATTTTAAACCACACAGTATCCCCCTTGTTCAGTTCGAATGACTGCCTTTTGGTCTATGTATAGATCCCACATGAGCACAATTAAGTGTTTTGAAACTCCCATTCTTTGCAATGTTATCCATAATTTACGATCCACACAGTCAAATCCCTTTGCATAGTCAATAAAACACAGGTAAACATCTCTTTGGTATTCTCTGCTTTCAGCCAACATCCATCTGACATTAGCTATGATATCCCTCATTCCACATCCTCTTCTGAATCTGGCTTGAATTTCTGGCAGTTTCCTGTCTATGTATTGCTGCAACTGTTTATGAATTATCTTCAGCAAAATTTTACATGTGTGTGATACTAATGATATTGTTCAATAATTTTTGCATTCCATTGGATCACCTTTCTTTGAATCGGCATGTATATGGATCTCTTCCAGTCAGGTGAGTAGTATCTTAGTTATCTAGTACGAGTAACACTAGATAGCCAAAATAACCAGGTAGCTGTCTTACAAATTTCTTGGCACAGACGAGTGAGCACTTCCAGCATTGCATCCAATGAAATGTTTAGCAGGAAACAAATAAACAAAACAGAGACCAACATCCCTAAATTCCACATAGGAATTTTCACACTAGTTGTCTGTCTGTCAAATATCTTTCCACCTAAATTAACAGAACCACATCCCAAAAGCCAATATTTCAAAGTACAGCTGAAGTAATTAGCTGCGATGAACTTAATAAATGTGATCCCCACCACCTTTAGAAAAGGAATTTTACAAGAACTTAGAATGTATACTTACGATGTTTAAAACTTTATCCTCCATTTCTGCTACAAGGCAATCCTAAAGAAGTGGAAGAGAGGATGAAAGTGAAGTATAAGAGCTAAAAATGTTCAAAAACTTAGGCTTAGCACTAAACATTTCTTTTACTCTGATAAGTTTTCTTATTTTAACAGTTTGAAATCGTGCACAAGATAATCTCAACATTTTTTAGAAAGAGCTTACTTTCCTTTTTCTCGTGATATTGCGAAGATTAAAAAACATAAAATGGAGAGGGAGTGCTCTAGGAATGTGATGCCAGCTGTCATCTTCACCCTGTCAACCAACCAGTTGTCACTGAGTCAACTGGTGACCCCATGGGTTTCCGAGTAGCACTGTGCTTCCAAACAGTTTCCAATGGCTGATTTTTTGGAAGTAGATTGCCAGGCCTTCCTTCCTAGCTGCCTCTGGCATCTCAAACTTTCAACCTTTCAGTTAGCAGCTTGAGTGTGTTAATCATGTGCACCACCCAGGGACTCCCCAAAATTCTAAAAGTTAAAAAAAACCAACAAACTGATTTCCTTCAAGTCAATTCCGACTCATAGTGACCCTCTAGGACAGAGCAGAACTGCCCCATAGGGTTTCCGAGGCTGTAATCTTTACAGAAGCAAACTACCATATCTTTCTCCCACAGAGCGGCTGGTGGGTTCGAACTGCTGTTTGCAGCGGAGCACTTAATCACTGTGCCACAAAGACTCCTTCCTAAAAAGGTCATGGCTTAGTAAATTATAAGGTAAGGCCGACGAAAGGCAGCACAAAACACTTACTGCAAAATCCACACCATGTTAGCCACCAAAAGTAGGTGCTGGGCAAAATTTCACGGAAAAGAAGTTCCTGGAGCCCAAGATGGTCCTGACTTTCCCCTCCCACTCCACCCCCACCCCTGAGCAGGGCTGGACCTGGGAAGAGGGGGCAGAGTTGGAAGGGAGCTGGCACTGCTTCTCTCCTAATGCTCTGCACCTCCTCGACCCGAGGAGTACCATCCAAGGAACCCATCTGACAGATTACATAGTTTGGAAACCTAGAAATATCACTGAACTGATATCCAGCTACTGCTCAAACGGTCCAAAAAACCAAAACACCAAACCCATTACTATCAAGTCGATTTCGACTCACAGCAACTCGATAGGAGAGAGTAGAATTCCCCCATAAGGTTTCCAAGGAGTGGCTGGTGGATTCAAACTGCGGACCTTTAGGCTAGCAGCTGTAGCTCTTAACTACTGCACCACCAGGGCTCCACAGAGTAGTAAACCAGAAGTTAAAAGATCAAGAAACCTGACCATGGTTCCCAAATGTGACCCGGGCTCAGCAGTAGCAGGCCACCAAGCCATGAGCCTTTAGGTGTGGGCCTGCTTATAAGAATAGCTTTCAAATAAAGGCGTGGGTAAACTTAGCCACAAAAGTTTATTTTAAGCACCACTGAGATTAAATCAGACATTTCAGTCCATAATAGATGAATTAGGTTCAACAAAACATTCATTAATACACTGCCAAAAAAAAAGGTGGTACTGAGGTATGCTATTGATGACTTGGAATAAAGGGCTGGAATGTGAAGCATTATTTACTCAGCTTAAGAACAAAAGACTCTGAACAAGGCATGAACCCAGTGAGCGATTATGGGAATCCCCACTGCTCTCTACAAAAGCAGCTAAAGTAAAACTGCTAATGCAAAGTTTTCACTGCTCACCTTCTAGAACTTTCTAAGACAGAGGATTTCAACCTACACTGTAGGGTGGTGACAGAAGTAAAGTGATCCTAACTAGATTATTTAGAACTTATTCAGCACCAATAAGTATAATCCCAAACTGGGACATCCTAGGGAAAACACAAATTATTGTACGTGCATGAAAAATATTAAGTTCATTCTAACTGTTAGAATTGTCAAGTAAAGATTTTACAAATTTTTTACGATTACTGAGGGAGGTGACTACCAATTCCTACCCTATGTGATTTTTTAATCTGATTTTGTTGTCTTCTTTAATTTTTGCTACTGTATAAAAATGTGGGAAACAATAATAGCTACTCTACTGCTCCCAAAATTTACATTCTCTCAGGAAAAGAGAAGCCTGGAAGGAAAAACACTTAAAAAAGAAGAAAAGCACTTCTTTTTCTGTTTTAAGTAGAACGATACAGTAACCAGTTGCTGTTGAGTTGATTCCAACCTCACGTGTGTCAGAGTAGAACTATGCTTCACGGGGTTTTCAGTGGCTGATTTTATGGAAGCAGATCATCGGGTCTTTCTTCCGAGGTACATCTGGGTTGACTCAAACCTCTAACCTTTTGATTAGCAGCCAAGAGTTAACCATTTGCACCACCCAGGGACTCCCGGGCAGTTCAGTAGGGTAGAGACAAAAACCAATAATAAATGAATGATTTCAGACAAAACAAAAAACAAAAAACTGCTGAGTAGATGTGTTCTGAATTGCTCTATTACTGGGAAATGTATTTTTGCATGCCGAAATTTGATATACAGTCAAACTACAGGTGCAACGGCTATAAAATTTAAATAGTGACGGCTCAAAATAGGCTTTTCCACCTCCACCTTGTACATAAAACTAAACCATCAATGACCATACTGACCCATTTCCCATTAACACCTTCTGACTGACAGATTAATTAAATCAACAACATTTTTAGGAAAAGTTTATACTTACATGGTCTATCGGAGCCCTGGTGGCACAGTGGTTAAGAGCTTGGCTGCTAACCAAAGGGTTGGCAGTTTGAATCCACCAGCCACTCCTTGGAAACCCTATGGGACAGTTCTACTTTGTCCTATAGGGTCGCTATGAGTCAGAATCAACTCGACGGCAATGGGTTCTTTTTGTTGCTGCTGTTGTTATTTTATTTGGTCTTGTGCCAGAAAGAAAATTAAAACTTGGTGTTTATGACATTTCATGACAAATCCCCAGAAGATTAAAGTACTGTCATTCTTTTGAGATTATCACCCACAAGAAGACAGGGCCTTTCAATCCACCAGGGCTGAAGGGCCAAGTCACTGGCAGGTAGATGCTGACCTCATGGTTTCTGAATCTTGATTATTTGGTGGCTCCAAGAAGCCTCCAAGAAAATGGGTTCTTGGGTGGGCTTGAACCACCAACCTTTGGGTTAGCAGTCAAGTCAACTGTCTGCACCATCCAGAGACTCTGAGCCAATGGGCAGGGAGAGCGCCCCTGTCTCCCAAACCGCTCAAGCCAGCACATGAAACGGCTCGCTTTCTATCTTCCACCACCATGAACGTGGGTTCCCACACGCATTCCTACAGAGAGGAAGCAGCTGTAGGTGTGACCTCATATTGTTTGGCATGAAGTCAATGGAATGGAAAAAAGAGGTACTGGAACAAAGTCACCCCCTCATGAGTCAGAAAGAGAAGCTGAGATTCGTGACATTCCTTGGTCACCTGCATCGGAATACAGCCCAGCCCATGTGGCAGAGACCCAGCCTGGGCAGCTCTCAGAAGTCTGCCTCAGACATCTCCCCTTCCCCCTGCTTCTCCTCCTTATTCTGCCTTCTTACTGACTGAGCAACCTTGGGCAAGTTATTTAACCTCTCTGTGCCTCTGTTTCCTTCTCTGTAAAATGTGGATGAGAACAAAACCTACCTCGGAGAACTGTTGGGGATTAAATGTGCTAACATATGAAAAGTATGTAGTATACATGTGGCACACACACATAAAAACAGTTGCCATCGAGTCAACTCTGATTCATGGTGACACCACATGTGTCAGAGTAGAACTGCGCTCCATGGGGTTTTCAGTAATTGATTTTCAAAAACAGATCACCAGGCCTTTCTTCCAAGTACCTCTGGGTGGACTTGAACCACCAATCTTTGGGTTAGCAGTCAAGTGCTTACCTGTTTGCACCACCCAGAGACTCTGAGACAAAATTAGCACTCAATAAATGGTCTTGCATTTTTTCCTCTTCTGCTTCCATGGTTATCTTTCTTTCTATGCATTTTTCTTGGGTTTTCTCTTGCTTATTTCCCCCGTTTCTTCTCACACTGGTGCTCAGCACCTGCTCCTGTTGCCATTTCGTCTCCCACCATTACTATTTCATTTTACATCCTCACAGCATGAGGAGGACAGATGGAGAATACAGATCACAATCCTTTCCCACCTTGGTTTCTTTAAAATTTAAGCCTTGAAACTGGAAGGGAAAACATGCCCGAGTCCATCCTTGTCCTGGGTGTATTATTAAAAAGAGTGCATAGTTTCTTTACAGGGGGAAAAAAAAGCAACTATTATCCTTCAAAGTGTAAGCTTTATAGATTACTAGTGGAAGAAAGAATGCAGAGAAAGGGACAAGAAAGAGAGGGGTAAATGGGGCTCCACGGCTACAAGGAAAAAATACCACTTGAGATAATGCCAGAGAGCATTTCACCCAGACAACACAGAATTCTATGGTCAGAGTGTTCAAAGACCGCCTTTCCAGGAGGCATGCTCTGGGCATGTATCTAAAATTGTGCTCCACTCTCAATAGCTCTTATACTCCCTCCCTCCTGAACACTTCTCTAACTTTATATATTTTGCTTAGTTTTCTTTTTATTTTCTCTTGGCCCTATACACTGTAAGCTCCACGAGGTCAGGGAATTTTTATTCACTCTAGCATCCCCAGTGCCTGTAACAGTGATAGACACCTGTTGTTGCTGGGTGTCGTCAAGTTGATTCTGACTTACAACAACCCCATGTGACAGAGTAGAACTGCCCCATAGAGTTTCCTAGGCTGTAATCTTTACAAGAGCAGATCGCCAGGTCTTTTCTCCAGCAGAGCCACTGGTGACTTTGAACTGCTGTCCTTCTTGTTAGCAGCCTAGCACTTAACCACACCACCAGGGTTCCTTGGACAGACATAAGTGTTGTTGTTAGGTGCCGTCGAGTCGGCTCAGACTCACAGGGACCCTACGTACAACAGAATGAAACACTGTCTGGTCCTATGCCATCCTCACAATCATTGTTATGCTTGAGTCCACTGTTGTAGCCACTGTGTCACTCCATCTCATTGAGCGTCTTCCTATTTTTCGCTGACCTCTACTTTGCCAACAATGGTGTCCTTCTCCAGGGACTGGCCCCTCCTAATGATGTGTCCAAAGATGTGAGACGAAGTCTCGCCATCCTTGCTTTTAAGGAGCATTCTGCTGTACTGCTTCTAAGACAGATTTGTTTGTTCTTCTGGCAGTCTATAGTATGTTCAATATTCTGCACCAACACCATAATTCAAAGGCATCAATTCTTCTTCTGTCTTCCTTCCTCATTATCGAGATTTCGCATGCATATGAGGTAACTGAAAATACCATGGCTTGGGTCAGGTGCACCTTAGTCCTCAAAGTGACATCTTTGCTTTTTAACATTTTAAAGAGGTCTTTTGCAGCAGATTTGCAAATGCAATGCATCATTTGTTTCTTGACTGCTGCTTCCATGGTATTGATTGTGGATCCAAGAGAAATGAAATCCTTGACAACTTCAATCTCTTCTCCATTTATCATGATGCTGCTTATTGGTCCAGTAGTGAGGGCTTTTGTTTTCTTTATGTTGAGGCGTAATCCATACTAAGGCTGTGGTCTTTGATCTTCATCAGTAAGTGCTTCAAGTCCTCTTCACTTTCAGCAAGCAAGGTTGTGTCATCTGCATATCATAGGTTGTTAATGAGTCTTCCTCCAATCCAGATGCTGTGTTCTTCTTCATAAAGTCCAACTTCTTAGATTATTTGCTCAGCATACAGACTGAATAAGTATGGTGAAAGGATACACCCCCGATGCACACCTTTCCTGACTTTAAACCACACAGTATCCACCCTGTTCAGTTCAAATGACTGCCTCTTGGTCTATGGACAGGTTCCACATGAACACACTTAAGTGTTCTGGAATTCCCATTCTTTGCAATATTATTCATAATTTGTTATTATCCACACAGTCGAATCCCTTTGCATAGTCAAGAAGACACAGGTAAACATCTTTCTGGTATTCTCTGCTTTCAGCCAAGATCCATCTGACATCAGCAATGATATCCCTCGCTCCACGTCCTCTTGTGAATCTTGAATTTCTGGCACTTCCCTGTCGATATACTGCTGCAATCGCTTTTGAATGTGATGCCATTCCTCTTCAATCTGTTATTCCCAGCATAGTAGTCCATGTGATCATGAATTCAAAACGGCCAATACCAGTCTATTTCAGCTCACTAATGCCTAGGATATCGATGTTTATGTGTTCCATTTCATTTTTGACGATTTCCAATTTTCCTAGATTCATACTTCGCACATTCCATGTTCTGATCATTAATGGATGTTTGCAGCTGTTTCTTCTCATTTTGAGTTGTGCAACATCAGCAAATGAAGGTCCCAAAAGCTTGACTCCATCCACATCATTCAGGTCGACTCCACTTTGAGGAGGCAGCTCTTTCCCAGTCGTATTTTGAGTGCCTTCCAACCTGGGGGGCTCATCTTCTGGCACTGTATCAGACAATGTTCCGCTGCTATTCATAAAGTTTTCACTGGCTAAATCCTTTAAGAAATAGATCGACGGGTCCGTCTTCCTAGTCTGTCTTAGTCTGGAAGCTCAGCTGAAATTTTTCTACCATCGGTGACCCTGCTAGTATTTGAAATACCAGTCACATAACTTCCAGCATCACAGCAACACACAAGCCACCACAGTAAGACAAACTGACAGACACGTGGCAGGGTCAGACACATAGTAAGCACTAAATAAATACTTATTAAAGCAATAGTTCAAATACCTACAAAGCTATTATCAACCTGCATAGTCAAAGCAGATTCATCTTGTACAAATGAATCTTACCACCTCCACCTTCAATTTCACCACTGGCTCTTTTTACCCCCTACTCTACAGCCTCAGTCAGTCACACTGTCCAGGACCCTTTGTAATAAAACACAGATCCACCTAGGAGAAAAACTTTCCCATCTCCTAAATAGAATGTTTACCTCTTACACTTCCATTTAATTGATCATGAGTAAGCTCAGTCAAAAACCAAAACAGGGGGCAGAATACTGTGGAGAAAGTAAAGCAGAAAAAGAAGAAAACCCAAGGTGTCAGGATAATGCTTCCCACCACAAATGGCAGGGCTCAGGGGCTGTATGGTTAATGCATCACAACTGGTATCTCACTCTTCTGTCAAAATTACTTAGCACTTCATAAAAAGGAACAGAACTCAGAGCTACAATAGCTCTGAGTGACTTTCTAAGAACCTGGCCTCAGAAGCATAGGATGAAGTCACATGAGCCCGGAGTTCCATGGCTGCTGAGGACTAGATCTCGAACAATGGCTATGTGCAAAGCCAAACTCCACTCTTCATGTTCCAGAAACAAACACGGTGCATGACTTTTCAGAATCACATCTGATTTTATGGCATGATCAGCACTGAAGAAAAGGGTTTTTTTGTTTGTTTGTTTGTTTGTTTGTTTTTGCCAAAGTAGCAGTGGAAACAAACACGGAATCACAGAATTTTAGAACCAAGTAGGACATGAAAAAAGAACAAGCTAATCCTTACATTTTATAATACAGCTTAAAAATACTTAACAAGTGTCTGCTACATGCCAGATACTAAGACAGGAGGTGACTGCAAGAGCTGACAGGCTGATTAAGAAACTAATAAAAAATAAAAGGTAAGGTCACAGACGCTAGTTAAGTTATAGGCAGACTGAGGTAAAACTTCTTGGGCCCTCACTAATATATCTGGATCTGGCCAAAGAGCTGTGAGTAGAATTGATTAAGTGTCACTTCCCACCTAGAACATTTATTAGTATGAAACTCTCCACGGCTCTCTGTCATGACGACAAGTACATGAGATACAGGCTCTCTGTCATCCTAGGTCCTGGAGAAAAACTGGAGCAGATTCCCCAGCCGACCTGTCTGAATACCGACAGCATGATGAAGGAATAAACACTGAGATTTGGGAGTTATTTGTTACTGTGTCATAACCTCGCCCATCCTGACTGATAATACCCATTAACCAGGGGTCAAAATGGAAAGACAATTACAAAGCAGATACAGTGTAAGATACATAGAGCAAAGACTATAGTAAAATTAAAATATTCCAGATTTTCTATTTAAAAAATTAAGTGCTGCAACGTTTTAGAGGACGTACAGGACTATTTGTTCAACTGTTTTAAAACAAAAGAAGGCAACCTTTGATTCAAAGGACACTGGTTATTTTTCACTGAACCATCTAAACAATGGACAAAAAGAGAATGGTACTCCATACCTGCACGTGAACCCTTTGAAGAGGAGGAAAAGAGAAAAGAAGACAAAAATTTTAGAAAGCAGCAATGCTGTACTGACCTTCTGGACCGTAGTAGTCAGGTCCAAGCAAAGCTGAATGATTTTGTTCTTCGTTACGGAGAAATCAGTGATCCCTGTAAATGGAGCCCTAGAAAGTAACAAAAATTCTCAAAAAAAAGAAGGAATCCACTGGGATCCCACCCTGTATGTCGACAAGCATAGCTACACAACGGGCTAATTTACATTACTGATCATATCTAACTCTCTTCTCAGGTAACACATAAAATAGGAATCTGCATAGAACAGAGACAGAGAAATGCTAGATAAAGACACATCCAAAAATGGGACAAGAGAATTAACAGCCTGTCAGAAGTCAACCAACAACCTTCATGCCAACCAAATACTCAATCATTCATGTTTAATCTCAGTAACACACAACCTTTAACACAGTTTCACTCTTCTCTAAGCTGAAATTAATTTGTTCCTGCTATTAACCTTTTGAGTAACTTCCAAACCCACCGCCATCAAGTCAATTCCAACTCATGGCGACCCCATGTGTTACAGAATACAAATGAGCACCACAGAGTTTTCTTGGCTGTAATCTATACAGAAAAGGAGCCCTGGTGGCGCAATGGTTAAGTACTTGGCTGCTAACCATAAGGTCAGCGGTTCGAACCCACCAGCTGCGCTGCAGGAAAAAGATGTGGCAGTCTTCTTCCAGAAAGATTACAGCTTTGAAATCCCTATGGGGCAGTTCTACTCTGTCCTAAAGGGTTACTATGAGTCAGAATCGACTCAATGACAATGGGTTTGTTTTTTGTTTTTTTTATATAATCTCTACAGAAGCAGTTCGCCAGGCCTTTCTTCTGCAGTGCCACTAAGTGGGTTTGAGCCGCCAATCTTTAGGTTAGCAGCTGATGGCAAACCACTTGCACCACCCAGGGAATTTAGTAATTTCCAAAAGGACTAAAATCTACTACTAAGCCGGAACTCCTCGAGAGTTCCAGTGAAAAGGACAGGAAAGGGACAATGGTTCCTTTTCCTAAAACACAGCACAGCCTTCTGTCATCTCAGATCCTACTTTTATAGGAGAGTAAAGGCAGGCCCTTAACTCACCGGTCCAGCCAAGCTAGCAAGGCCTTCGCAGCGCCGATGAGCTCCACCACTGAGGTCAGGAACTCATTGGGGGGCTTGCACGAGGTGTTCCCGTCATAAGCTGAACTTTTCCGCCGGCTACTTATGTAATTCTGTAAATTGTGGGAAGAAGCTCGCAGTTTCAGAACCAAGTTCTTCATATTATCCGTCTCAAGGCCATAATTCTGCAGAAAATAAAAACAAAGAGAAAAATTCAAAATCGACAACATCCAAAACTCTCATAACTCAAAGACCACTGGTAACTTAAATAACTCCTACAACGGCCACAAAATCCTACCTGAGCTGGCCCACGGCACGGATCTCATCTGTGAGCTCCTCTTCCCGAAACACTCTTCCTACACATCTTGGCATGGACAGCTCCTTCTTATCATTCACATCCTGGCCTGGCCACTTAATATAAAGCAAGTCTTCTCAACCTCGGCCCCACTGACATTTGGGACCAGGTAATTCTTTGTTGGGAGGGGAGGAGCGCTGTTCTGTACACTTGTTGTTGTTAGGTGCCACTGAGTCGACTTTCAAGTCATGGCGACTGCCATGTAACAGAGCAGAACTGCCCCACAGGGTTTTGTAGGCCGTAAGGAGTCCTGGTGGTGCGGCGGTTAAGCACTCAGCTGCTAACTGAAAGGTCAGCAGTTCAAACCCACCAGTGGCTCTACAGGAAAAAGACCTGGTGATCGGCTCCCATGAAGATTATGGTCTAGAAAACCCTATGGGGCAGTTCTATTCTGTCACATAGGGTCACTATGAGTCGGAATTGACTTGATGCCTCATAACAACAACAATCTTTACAGGAGCAGACCGCCAGCTCTTTCTCCCACCAAGTCGCTGTGTGGGTTAGAACCACCGACCTTTTGGTTAGGAGCCAAGCGCTTAACCATTGTGCCACCACGGCTCCTTGTCCTATACATTGGAGGCTGTTTAGCAGCACTCCTGGCCTCTACCAAGCATGAAATTAAGTGTCCAATGTTCTACAACTAATAAGCAGTAGGGTTAGGGCTCTAAGGAAGGCCGTCAGCACCTACAGCGCATGCATCTGACCGCTGTACTACAGCTCCCCCTCCCACACCTCCTGGTGATTCAAACTGCTGACCTTTTGGTTAGCAGCCGAGGTCTCAACCACTGAGCCACCAGGGCTCCTCCAACTCCCAAGGGAGGGGAAAATTATGTTTCAAAATCAAGATCCATAAAGCACAAATACACTAAGTTTGCAAACAACTTCTTTTTTAAAATTTGCAAGAACTTTTTTTTTTACAAGATAAACAATTTAACAACAAAAGACCCTGACCCACCAGTTTAAAATAATTCATCAAAATCTTATTGAAAACAATTCTCATTTCAAATAGATTTTGTTTAAATTTTAACTTAGTATTGCTTCTAAATAAAATAAAAAATAATTGTTTAAAAAGACTATAGAAAAGCACTGAAAGGAATTAAAGTACAAATATATTAAAAAAAAGAACTTCCCGGATCTAAGAACTGAAAACTGTCTTTTGCAAACTTTAAAACAAAACTGTAGGTTAACGTAATCGAATACTCTGTATTAATAGTAATTTGCTATCTAGATACTGTATTCATTCATTATCTTCCTTACTGTCCTATTCTATAGATGAAAATATGATATTGTTCTTCAATAGAGAAGCCAAAAATAAAAAGACAGATTTCCAGCGTGGTTTTTTTTAAATTCAGAGAATCAAAGACTCATTCGTCAGTGAATAAAGAACCCACGTGACACAGCTTATTTTTAAGGACCTGTGAGATATGATTAAAGGGAATGTCCTCTCATTCAGCCAATTACTCAGGCTGCCAACTTTTAGCAGGAATTTAGAGCAAAAGGCAAGAAGTCAAATTTCTGTAGTCAGTGCCGCAAAAAATGACTTGTAACTTTTATTATATACAAAACATGTACTTCTAAACTCAAAGGTATTAAATGCGCTTTCTTGTTAGAAGAAGCTTGAAACCTTAATATCCTACAAGCTGCCACTTTGGATGCTAAAATAAAGGGGGAGGGTAGCTTCTTATTCACTGGCTCTCTTCATTTTTCCCCCAAAACAAATCATGAGACCAGAAGGACAGATAGACTTAACTATAACAGAGTATATAATTTTTAAAAGGAGAAGAGGAAGAAAGGAAAACTCCCTCCCCTTCAACCTTATTCTACCGTAAGGTGAGAACAAAACACTGATTAAATTAGCTTGAAAGAACCTCTACTGTACAACCATAATCAGGGGAGTATTATGGACTAACGTGCCTCATAATGAAAGACAGAAAATGAATAACCTTCTCAGGCTAGATACACTTATTTTCACTCATCTATTTTATAAAGCATGTCTCTTTCAGAAACTGCTCTAAGATAAGGCATCAGGAAGATACAAACTAAGCAACAAATGAAATAAATCCCTAAAAATCTATGCACATATTAAAATCCTTCCACTGACGCCTTGCTTCATTAGAAGTTAACCATCAGGGATGATTTCCTGGTCAGGCTGAAGAAACCATACTCTAGACGGGAGAGAAGGAAATTGATTTCTCACTCTTCTGCTGAGGAATCGACTCGATGGCAACAGGTTTGGTTGTTTTGGTTCTGCTGCCTTAAAATTACCCACGTTTTAGCTCAGGACAAACCGTACCCAACTCCTCTGCCTTCTTTTCCCGTTCCGATGAGCTGTGTGATCTAACACAAGTGATTAAGGGGTGTCAGAGAAACAACCAAAACTATCTTACTGCCTTGTCAATTAAGTGACAACCTAAGAAACAGACTGCACAGTTTTCCTAAAGGCACTTAACAAGGTCAGGGCAAAATCAAGTCGACATAAACTGCTAGCAAAGATTCCTGTTGCTTCACAACCTTTCCCCCCAGAGAAAAGGGTAACATGTTTTAATAATTTGCTCTGGGTAAATGATGAACAGTCTCAGAGGTGTATGAGTATACGTAAGGGCTCTGGACAGGTAGGCCCATTTACAGAAATTCCACTTAACCACACATCTAGGCAGCATCATCTAACACATGCATTGATTCCAAATTTGTTTACTTTCCCAAGCTGCTTCTATCTTAAACACCTGGATCTTCAGGAAACCAGGGTCTCACTGATTTGGCAAAGAACGCAGGTTACAACCATACTTTTTCACTCTCAGTCACACTCTCTAGACTCGTGCTGTCCAATAGAACTTTCTGCAATGAAGAAATGTTCTCTTTGTGTGCTGTCCAATACGGTGGCCACTAGCCAATGTCGCTATTGAGCGCTTGAAATGCAGCTAGTGTGACCAAGGAAGTGAAATTTATTTACTTTTGATTAGTTTAAATTTAAATAGCTGCTCCTACTGGAAACAGCAGGTCTTTGAGTCTGTCCCAGTTATCTTCTGCCCACACAGAGGCAAAAAAACTAGGCTTAGATTCTGCATCAAGCCTGGAAAGTGGTCCTGGTTCTGCCTCATAACACAAGTCCCGAGCCACTCCATGAACTTCCTGGGTGGTGAGGTTAATGCATTTGACTGCTAACTAAAAGGCTGGAGGTTCGAGTCCACCCAGAGGCACCTGGGAAGAAAGGTCTGGTGGTCTACTTCCCAAAATATCAGCCATTGAAAACCTATGGAACACAGTTCTACTCTGGCACACATGGGGTTGCCATGAGGTAGAATCAACTCAACAGCAACTGCTTTGGTTTTCTGGAAACCACTCCAGCAAGCCAAGATCAAAGTTTACAAAACGTGGTTTGTCTCCTTGCTCTTCAACCCTGACTAGCTTTTTAAGATCCATCTGCTCACCCATACTGAAGTCTTAGTCAACAGCTGTTCCCTATTTTATGTTCCTAACGATACCGTCTGCACTTCTCGTCTCCAAAACTTTCCAGTGGTTCTAGTGGGTTTTTTCCTTCTCCCATCCTTATTCCTAATGCTATTCATCCTGTCCATCATAAAATCAACATCCACTACACTAAGTTACATAAATATCACAGGAAACCGTTTCTATAACACCAGGGCCAACTACACATCCACATTAACTGTCCAAATTGCTCAAGGAAAAAAGTTATCACCAATTAGTATACTCAAAGATCTGTATGGTGTCAACGGACTAAGTAGATGGTATAATTAATACATGCATTACAAGAAGAATATTTTAAAAAGGAGATTAGTGCAAGACTAAAGACATTTTAATAAAACACCCCTAAAAAGCCTTCCCAAACCCACAAAGGGCACTTTCATTAATGCATCCTCTGAAGAACCTTCTGGCAAATGCATCCCGGCACTCCACCACACGAAGCATGTGCAGAATGAGTCTGAGGTCAAAACTCTGTCTACAAAGGAAATCGTAGGAGATAAAACCCAGCTTTAGGTTCTGGCATTTGTCCAGCTTTGTTCATTTTAGTCTAATATTTTAAGAGGGGGTGGGGGAGAAAGCATAGAGAATGGCCAGCGGCATCTGTCATGTCCATTATCCCATGCAGTGTACACACTGTGCTTCTAGTCAACCCTTCCACCAACTCTCTCCTCGTGTGGATTCCCGAGTAATTCACCTGTCCTCAGAGGATCACTGCAAAGCGAAAGAGACCGTTCAAATTTACAGCCCATCTAGCAGAGAAGACGGAAAAGCCATGTTCCCGTGAAGTATAATAAAAGTTAATTCAAAAATGCTTCATTACGTAAAAAAATACAGTTGTCACAGTAACAAACAGGATGCTCAGATATCTCCTCAGCAGTGCAAAACACGTGCACCTTCGTACACACCATGCCTGAGGTGAGTGTTACTGTACTGATGAAGAACGCAGACACCACCGCTTCCCCTGAGGTCCCAGAGGGAGTTGTGTGCAGTAGAGCCAGGATTACAATTCACAAACCACGCCTCCCAGGACAACGCTCAGACCACTTGGCCACGGTGTCTCCCTTGTGGCAGCTCATTTATCAACTACAAATAATTTCCCCATTACTTTCCTAAACAAGAACAGTGTATCTCGGAGCAGAAGACAAGGCTCTGTCCATTTTAAGAAGAAGAATACACACAATGCAGCAAGTGTTATATAATCAACGAAACACAGACCAGCCATGGCAAAATCCTCAGGAGCACATTCTTTCCCACCATTCTCAGTGATGTAATTGTATATGCCCCTGGCTCGGGTTCCTAGCATTACTAACCCAGCTTGAATGCTGCCGAGTTTGTCCCAATTCTGACATTTAAGTAAACCGCATCCTTGCGTGGCACCATGACAGGAGGCTTCAACCCCATCCTGTGCCAACCAGTTTGTAAGCAAAATGCCCCTACAGGTGTCCTTAGCCCACACTGCAAGGTCGTACCCAGAGAGTCACAGGTGCAATGCAAGGCCAGACAACCGCAGGATTTAACTCATTCATGTTAAAGCCAAAACTCAGAATCTGAAAAATGTAACTAATTCACATTTTTCCCATCTAGCTACCATTCCATAGGTTATTGCAGGCACAAACATCAGTTATTTAAATATCACAAGTATCTGTTAAACTCAAATGCTTTATATAGTAACAAAAAAACATGAAAATCTGAACCCATTTCTCATTTTCATTTAGCAAATGACATTTTCTTTCAGCACTCTCCCTATCTTTTTATTCTTTATAAAATATAAGAAAATAAGCCTAATGTAGCTTTTTTCTGTAAACGGCAAACTTTTTCTACAAAGGGCAAGGTCGTAAATATTTCAGGCTTTGGGGAATCATGTGGTCTTAGTCACAACTACTCAACTCTGCCCCAAAGAAGCCATAACCAAACCAGTTGCTGTCAAGTTGACTCCAACCCATAGCAACCCTATATGTGTTAGAGTATTACTGTGCTCTACTGGGTTTTCAACGGCTGTGATGTTTTGGAAGTAAATCACCAGGCCTTTCTTCCGAGGTGCCTCTAGATTGGGTGGATTCGAACTGCCAACATTTCAGTTAGTAGCCAAGTGCTTAACCGTTTGCATCACTCAGGACTCCTAGCCCTAAATAACACATAAGTGAATGGACATGGCTGTGTTCCAATTAAACTTTATTTACAAAAATAGAAAATGGGCCAGATTTGACCCACATGGCAGAGTGTGCCAGCCCTTAATCTAGAAAATGATGTTTTTCTTCCCTTACTATTTTATCTTCAGCTCGTACTTCAGGTCAAGGGATCATTAAGAAATTGGGGATATGGTAAGGTAGCAACAATGAGGATTTAAGAGGAGGTTTTCAAGAACTCCAGCACAGTACAGATCACTTTTCCTGAACTAACCAGTGCACAGAGAAGGTCGACGGCCTCCAGCACAAGCTCCTGGTGTCCGATGCGTGTGACACCCAGCTCCTCGAGATCCTGGTGGGAAATCTGCAGCAGCTGCTCCCCATTGATCTTCTCCCGCTCAAACTTGTGGACATACTGCTGCAGGCAGTCATCCAACCCTACCAAAAGAGAGGGAAAAAAAAGTCATGATTGACATTTTGTTCCCTTACTCAAAAAATTGCCCACATTTTCTTTACTGTTGTTGAAAATATATACAGTAAAATATACACCAATTTAACAACTTCTGCATGTACAATTCAGGGACACTGATTACATTCTTCAACTTGTACAGTCATTCACATGCTCTTTTCTAATTTGTTCCTCCCCTATTAACATAAACTCTCTTCCCCTAAGCTTCCTATCTTTCCAGTTGCTGTAAATATTTTGATCCTGTACAGTAAGTTTTTTAAAAAGAGCACAAAACTCACAGCGGACATTCTTTACTAGTTAAGCGAGACTGTTGTTTGGCTTAAAGAAGGCTTCGGGAGCTATTTTTGGTTCGTGGTTTGAGGATTAAAGATTATCTCAGGGCAGTAGTCTTGGGGTTCATCCAGCCTCACTGGCTCCAGAAAGTCTGGATTCCCTGAGAATTGGAATTTTGTGCCATACTTTCCCCTTTTTGATCAGGATTCTTCGATAGAATCTTTTATCAAAATGTTTAGTAATGGTAGCCAGGAACCATCCATTTCTGGTCTTATGGCAAAAGAGGCAGCTGTTCGTGAAGGCAATCACCCATGCATTCCAAAAAAAAGAAAAAAAATGCTCACGTTTAAATCAATCTCAGTAATAATCAAGTACACTGTCACAATCTGATTGTCGATATGATGTGTATTCCACCTAATGGATACCTTTTCAGTGATGGTTTCTAATCTCAAACAGGTTTTCAATGCACAGCTCAAAATTTTCAAATGAATGCAGTACAATTTATGATCGTTTATCTTCCGTTCATTCCCTATAAACTAACATAAAAAACACTAAATCCCCGCTGATTTGAAATGTTAGCACAGATACTTGACATATGTTGTTTGTTTGCTAAGCAACCCCTCCTTTAGGATATTACTGCTCTACCATGTGATCCCAGTGAGTTTGTCAATCAAGGTGCTTTGCCACAGTGGACGGCACTCTATCTGCCAGCAACTTACAGGCTCAGGGATGGTCATGTGATTGATTCACACAGGAACAATCAAAATCTTCCTTGGCATTTGATATACAGACACAGGAAGACAGAGGCTCTTCCTCCCTTTCTAACTGGAAGCCATAAGGATATAACCTTGGCAATTCTGGCGGTCATTTTTCTGATCACTTGTCTGAAAATAAACCCAACCAACATTTGGAAGCAGGGTGATTATGATAGAGAGAGCAAAAAAATGCCCCAATAATATCCTATACATCGCTAGACTAACTCTACTTAAAGATACTTCTTTCTATCTTTAGAATTTTTCACTTACGCTGAAATAAATTTCCTTTTCAGCTTAAGTATGTTTGTGTTGAGTTTCTGTCCCTTGAAAATGAAAAAGTTCAATGAATACAGAATCCAAGGGAAATAGTACCAGCCCTAAACGACAAGGAGAAATAAAGATGAGGCCATGTCTCCTCTAATTAACTACGAAAAGTTTTCATGGAAGAAATAAGATTTCAAAGTAGCTTTAGAACATAAAGGGAATATTTTGGGCACAGAGAAGAAGGTGGATGTGGGAGGTGTGATGAGAGTTCTGGACAGGGTCCAGGGTGCAAATGATCAGAGACTGAGAACTGAAGAATACAGAAGAACATTCCCCTAAGAAATGGACCAGAATCTCCTTGAGGATTCTAGTGGAATATAAACAATGCAACCTCAAATAATCAAAAGTTCCCCAAAAAGTAGGAGAATTTTTAAGTAGAAACATCATATTGCTATCGACCTAAGAGCAGACTCTGTAGTAGCTTAAATGTGGGCAGTGGTGTCTCAGCGGCAGAATTCTCACCTTTTATGAGGGAGACAATGGTTCAATTCCCAGCCAGTGCATCTCATGTGCAGCCACAACCCATCTGTCAGTGGAGGCTTGTGTTATATTGCTAAACAAGTTTCAGCAGAGCTCTCAGACTAAAAATAGGAAGAAAGGCCTGGTGATCTACTTCTGAAAATCAGCCAATGAAAATTCTATGGACCACAAGAGTCAGATCTGTGACCCGTCATGGGAATGGTGCAGTTCCATTGTGCATGGGGTCCCCATGAATTGGGAGCTGAACTAGACAGCAGCTAACAACAACAATAGTAGCTTGAAGACTTTTCCCTTAAGGTACTCACATATTGAATGTGCTAAGTTTTAAATAGCATGGCCCCCAGAGTTTTACTATTCAGATACATTGTGGCCTATTGTTCAGTTATCCCATTGTTTAGAATATAATTAAACATTTATAAACAGCTAAATTAAAGTATTATGCAAACCCACAAAGGAGGGGAAAATTTTCACTTTCAAGTACACTGGTCTAAAAAAAATTAACATGTCTTTTGCTGATTTGTCAAATATACCAAATGCCTTCTAGTTCTCAGGCCTTTGCCTCAAAGAGCTTACAGTAAGTCTAGCAGGACTTAGAGAAACACATAATTAAGTTAAATTAAACACATTTAACTTACATAAATTAAATAAACACAATTCAGTATGGAATCACACCCTCTATCATGAGGGAAAAGGAGAGGAGTCCCCACACAGCATGGGACAAAGCACAGCAGGAAGGCCCAGCCTGCTCCACTATCACTAAATCCATTTGAACAATCTTAAACTTTTAAAGAAATCTCAAATGCAAATATATATATATAATCATAAATTTAAATATATATATTTAAAGTTCCAGCTCCAGATGTAGAAATTGATGGGGCAGTGGCTATCCATTTCTGTGGTGGCTGTTGCTGTGTGCTGTTATCTTTACAAGGAGCCGTCATGGCGTACTGGTTAATAACAGCTCGGCTGCTCACCAAAAGGTTGGCAGTTCGAATCCACCAGCTGCTCCTTGGAAACCCTATGGGGCAGTTCTACTCTCTCCTACAGGGTTGCTATGAGTCGGAATCGATTCGATGGCTTCAAGTTTTTCGGTTTTTAATCTTTGCAGAAGCAGACTGCCATATCTCTCCCGCAGAGCGGCTTGTGGGTTCGGTTAGCAGCCGAGTGCTTAAGCACTGTGCCACCAGGGCTCCTCAAAGCCAGACTGCCCGGGTTCAATTCTCAGCCACCCTTTTCACTAGGTGGGTAAGCTGAGGCAGGTTACTCAGTTGCTTCATTTGTAAAATGAAGATAACGATACTACCTACTACAAGAGGTTTAATGAAAGTTAACTGATATTTATGAAGAGCTCGGAACACTGTTGAGCACATAGCACTCTATAAATTTTGTTAAATAAAATAACGTGATTTAGTCACGTCCTCAATTTTTCAAGTGCTCAGAGTAAAAGCTGCTAGAGAGACGCACACACTTACGTGCCGCCCTCTGCAACACAGCGAACTGGAGATAAAACACCGTCTCAACAGCCCATGTTATTAGCTTCCTCAGAAAGCGATCCCAATCTGGGAGTCTGCAATAATCACCGATTCCATCTGAAAATGTTTTATGATTCATATCAGAATAAAAGCACCATGAAATTACAGCCTTCATTTTGTTCACTGCTTATTCTCCAACATCTAGAACATTGCTGGTATCCAGTAAATACTTGTGAAATAAATAAATGAATGCATGGTGATTTACTTAAATTTAATATATCACACTAATGCACAAAAATCACCTGGTTTTATTTTCACGTGCCAGTAAGCAACTACAGATATCTAAAGATGAAGAAACTATTCTATTGTGATACTGGTTATAGGTATTTGTACTTAGTTTCAATGTTTCAAACATTAAAGGAGGTCATTTCTACATTAAGAGAAATATCACAAACAAAATAAAACCCCAACCTTCTCAGTGCCAGTCTGTGATAAGATACCTGCCCTGTATTGAGACTTAATTTTTACTAATTAATTCATCTCACAACAATGTGGAAAGGATTTTGTACATGAAGATTAAGAAGTAAAGAAAATACCTCAACGCAAAATATCTAAAGCTATTTGCTTAAGGAACCCTGGTGGCACAATGATTAAGCACTTGGCTGCTAACTGAAAGGTCGGCGGTTTGAACCCACTGGCAGCTCTGTGGGAGAAAGACCTGGCAATCCATTCCTGTAAGATTACAGCCTAGAAAACCCTGTGGGGTACTTCTATTCTGTCACATGGCGTTATTGTGAGTCAAAATCAACTCGATTGCACCCAACAAAAGCAACATGAGCTTCTTCTCCGTATAAGACTAAAACCAGATCATTAACTAGGCCGCAGAACACAAACAGTTCCATCATTACTTAAATGGAAAGTACTATGCAGACAGCACTCTCTGTCCTGGTGCGTGAAACCCATCGGAAGGACTGTCACACAGCTATGCTTTTAGCCTCAGGCTCAAGGCAGCAAAAGCTGAGATTCTACCACAAATACAGTGGGCCCAGAGTGGTTCTTACAGCATTTCACATCAAGTACTTTGACCATTAAGGCATGTGTCAACCAGAGTTTTTAAGAAACGTTTTGATTCAGAAATCAGCTTAGCTAAAGCTTGTACAGTCCCATCCCCTCAGAATTTCTAAGGGCCACAAGTGATAGAGGAAGCAAAGGATTTGAGTATGCTATGTTCTTTATGAGGAGAATCAAGCACAGACACACAAATTCAACTTAATTCAATGAAATTTATGGAGCAACTCCCACGTGTCAGGCACTGGACTTGGGACAGGCCTTCTCTACAGGGAGACAAGAATTTAGGAGCAGGTCTGTTCTGGATTATCTAAGCCAGCGGAAGGAGAACAAGGCTAGGGGTGGTATGTTTATACCTAATTATACTATTCTTGGAATTCACAACACTTATAAAAACATGAAACCTAGTATCAGCGCTCCTCAGCTTTCCCAATTTGCTGACACCCTTGATCCAATATATGATGATGTTGCTGTTAGCTGCCATCATATCTCCTCCTCCAACTCATGGTAACCTTATGTATAACAGAAAGAAACTGCCTGGTCCTGCGCCATCGTCATGAAGAATGGTATGTTTGGTATGGATCACAACAGTCCGAT